GGACATTCCAGCCAAAGGGAACAGAAAGTGCAAAGGTGCAGAGACTTGAGATAGCCTCGCATGGGCAGGGAATGGCGAAAAGGTCAGCGTGCTTGGTGTGAAGTGGGGATGGGAAGGAGGGCAGGCAGAAGAGCTAAGGTCAGGAAGCCTTGTGTGGTTCATGTTTTAAGTGTTAGTAATTTGAGGGAGACATGAAACATCTCAGAACCCAGACATTTAAACTAGGGCAACCAGCCTCAGAAAGGTCAGATTATCCAGAAATATGTATACAACCAGTTCTATTTGGATGTGGAAATATTTCCTCTCCTTTGTTCTTTATTTCTTAAAAAGAATAGATTTTTATTGATTTCAGAGAAGAAAGGGAAAGGGAGAGAGAGATGGAAAGATTAATGATGAGAGAAATATCCCTGAGCGGCTGCCTCCTACTTGCCCTACACTGGGGATAGAATCCACAACCCGGGCATGTGCCTTCATTGGAATCGAACCATGACCTTTTAATGTATGGGATGGCATTCCAACCAACTGAGCCACACGGGCCAGAATTTATTTTTAATTAAAAAAAAATGTTTTAATAACATTTTGGTGATCAAACAGGAGAAAATGGGGCTTTTGCTCTAAGTGTAAACAGATGTGGGTCAGCCCCTCCTCCCATCCTGGCAAGTCTGGCCTCAGGGCAGTGGAAAGGGAGTAAGTAGCAGTAGCCACTGTTAGCTGAAGACTAACCAACCAGTCCCCAAAGTCCCAGATGTGTCTTCCTTAATCCTAAAGATGATCTCCACCCCCACCCCCAATAGCTGTAATTGAATTTCCTGCCAACCAGGTGAGTGAGGGCACAGAGCTGGTTATCTGTTACAGAAAAATAGAGAAACATGGCATTCATACCCACCCCTGAGTGTTCACTTGACCACAGGTCTGAAGCGAACACTCCAGCAGGCCTCAGTGACCTACTATCGATAGTAAGGAAGAGAGTGGGTTGGGCCTCCAGGGTATTGCAGGGGAACACAGGCCATGTCCTCAGCCCAGACCCAGTCCTCAGGTCCTGCTAGGATAGGGGAGGTGTCATGGCGAGGGAAGGAGGGCTGGTCCTGCAGCCCTCCGGACCCCAGCTAGGCTGACATTCTCACGATCTACAGGTCCATTGAGTCCTGGAGCAGATGGTGTCACCCCTATGGTGAGATGTAGCGAAACCCAACCAGAGTCACATTTTCAGATAAAAACTTGTGAGCGTTTATGTACACACTCTCACACACACTCCCATCACATACAAACACTCACACTCCTTGGTCTAAAGACCATTGGGAAACTGACCATAAGCAGGAGTGATAGGAGGTAGAAACTCCTCCCTATCTACTATTCCACTGACTCAGAGGTGAACTTGAGCTTGGGGCAGGAAAGAAGGTAGCAGAAGCCGATACCTGAACTCCCTGGATAGATCTCCCTCTGGTCATAAGCTGAACAGCATCCAAAATCCATATACTTCACCTCCTGGCCTGGCCTGAGCTTCCAGCAAGCAGAAGTTCCCCTTCCCCACTGCTTCTCATTGCTCCCTCTGCTACGAGTGATAGGGAGCAAACGTGGGAGAAAGAACAAAAGAGATTTCCTGAGGTTTAACCTTTTCTTCAGAGATATACAAGCAAAAGAAGGCAAAGGAGTTACCATAGGCTGTGCCCATTTCTCTTGTTCTTAAAAACTTAAGAAAATGGAGTCCATGGTCCCATCCCTTAACTCATTTTACCCTCCCCTACCCCAGACCTGGTCTAACAGACATATCAGCTGAAACCGGTTTGCCTCAATGGATAGAACATTGGCCTGCGGACTGAAAGGTCCCAGGTTCAATTCTGGACAAGGGCATGTACTGTGGTTGTGGGCATATCCCCAGTAGGGGGTGTGCAAGAGGCAGCTGATCGATGACTCTCTCTCATCGATGTTTCTAACTCTCTATCTCTCTCCCTTCCTCTCTGTAAAAAATCAATAAAATATATATTTTTTAAAAACTGATATGTCTTTTATTTTTAATTTAAAATATATTTTATTGATTTTTTACAGAGAGGAAGAGAGAGGGATAGAGAGTTAGAAACATTGATGAGAGAGAATCATCGATCAGCTGCCTCTTGCACACCCCCTACTGTGGATGTGCCCTTGACCGGAATCGAGGATGTGCCCTTGACCGGAACCAAGGTACATGCCCTTGACCGGAATCGAACCCGGGACCCTTCAGTCCCCAAGCCGACGCTCTATACACTGAGCCAAACCGGTTTCAGCACATATCAGTTTTTTAAAAAGTTATTTATTTATTAGGTCCATTTATTATTTAATTTTAATAGATAATATAGTCACATGGTTCAAAATTCAAAATATACAAAAGGACATACAGTGCTAAGTCCCCTCCCTCCCCTGGCCCCAACCTCCTGGTTTCCTTTCCAGAGGCAACCAGTGTTACCCATTTCTTCTGGATCCGTATTTATAAGCAAATGTACACTTATATTTTCCTCCCTTCTGTCGACCACAAATGGGAATTGCACCATATACACTTCTGCACCTTGCCTTTTCATTGGGTGATTATTCCCTATTAATATATAAAGAAATGTCATTATATTTATACCTCAGAGATAGATGGAGCCCACAGAATTTATTTAACCAGTCCTCTAGGGAAGGATGTTTCTGTCCTTTCCAAATGCTTGCTGTTTGTATATCCGCCCCAATCCAGGCTCCTAAGCAACCAAGCCCCAGCTCCTTTGCATGCCCATATGTGATTGAATGGCCCTGGCCAGTTAACCGCTAGAGTTCCTGAGTATTTGTGTTTCTCTCCCTTGTTGGCTGCTACAGAAGACAGAGGTCACTGGTTACACACAACCTTGGCACGAAATGACCACTCCTTATTACCACTGTACCCACAAAACCACCTCAAATGCTAACTTGTCTCTATGACCATCCTCTGCTGAGAATGCAAGGCAGGGGGTATACAAATGGGCAAAGAGAACACACTCTGCTCAGGACTGCGGTGGGGGCAACTCCTACTTCCATATGGGACAGACATAGAGGGACAGACAGGGATTGTCCTCCCAAACTAGATGGCCTTTGCATTTTTAGACTTCCACAGGCCTAGGGCCAGAACAGGAGACTGAAGTTGAGAAATGAGGGCTGGGAGGGAAATCCCAGAATATAAGAAAGAGTAGAAATAGGAGGAAGAGGTTGTAGGCAAGAGGAAGAGGGAAAGAAGGAGCAAGACTTGGATAAGAGAAAATATGGACCCAGAAGCCCCTTCCAGCTCATCCATGTATGCACAGGCCTGGCAAGAACCCTGAGCTGGTCCTCTAGGGGACTATCTCCTTGCAGAGACCTATCTTCATCTCCCAAGGCAGGCACCAGGGAGGTGAGGAGAGACCTGGAGGAGGCCCTAAAATATTCAGAAAAGCCAGAAAGAAAAAAGGGAGTTTCTGGTGAAAAGCTTGACTATCAGTTCAAGCTCCTGGCTGCCATTCCTCTCCTCTCTGGGACAGAAACCAGGCTTATCTGGTGGCAACAAAGCTGGGTCTCTCCTGGGTCCCCCCATCATCAGCACCACAGGCTCAGGATGCTCCCAGAAGAGAGGGGAAGCAAGGGAGGATGGTGGCAGGAGGCGGCCTTGGGGAAGAAGAGGAAGGAACCTCAGGGATGTGAGGAAGGAGAGAGGGCATCAGTCTGCCCAACCCAGTGCCCACTGCTCCCCCATTCCACACACCCTGGCCCTGGGGCCCTGGACACATTCCCCAAACCAGGGATCAATCACCTAGATATCAGAGAAGCCCCCATGAGAGAAGGCAGGAAGGTCGGGGGCACAGTCAGCAGTTTTGGGGAGGCAAGCCAAGGGGTTGACCTCACAGGCCCCAGCATCCTGGTCCTCCCGGAAATAGATGGAGTCCGCAGAATCAAAGGACGGGTCCCCGTCAAAGAAGTTGTAGGGTCGGAGGAGGAAGCCCACACCATTCCCCACAGTCACCGTGTTGGGAATGTCCTCTGAGTGTGGGATGTGCAGGAAACCAGCTGTCACCCAGGCCACCAAGTCCTAGCAGGGGAGAAGGAAGAGGATCGTGAGGCCTGGCTTTGCTAAAGACACACCTGCCGCCCACCGTAGCCTGGTCTGTAAGGATTTGCCATGCCAGCCCCCCTTTCCTCAAAAGGATCTTAAGTCTTTAAACATTTTTCCTACTGGTCCAGAAATCAAAGTATAGTCAATTTCATATTCATATTGGAACCAGCACCTGCTCCCTGACCCAGTCTGTACTCTTCTTCTCTGACACTTTCTATCACACCTCATCAGTCTCTCCACCCACAGAGTAATGATGACACCACAGGCTCCATCAACTTCTACCCCCTCAACTCCCAGAGAGTTCAAAACTATGACTGATGGAAGGAAGATGGAGGAGGGGAGATCCGGGTTTGGGAGGCAGAAAAGGCCAACATTTAGAAATTAATCCTTTAGCGCCGAATCCCGTTTGGCTCAGTGGATAGAGCGTCAGCCTGCAGACTGAAGGTCCCAGGTTCGATTCCGATCAAGGGCAAATACCTTGGTTGCGGTAACATCCCCAGTAGGGGATGTTTCTCTCTCATCGATGTTTCTAACTCTCTATCCATCTCTCTTCCTCTCTGTAAAAAATCAATAAAATATTTTTTTTAAAGAAATTAATCCTTTAGTGGTCACACCAGGAATGGGTTTTAGATATGCAAGATGTGGCCTGCCCTTGGTGACCTCCAGCCCTCCTTGACTGCTGAAAAGGACTCTGTCCACAAAGCTGAGACTTAGAGGGCTGTAGGGTCTTGAGGATAGGCTGGGGCCTCGGCTACTATCTGCAAATGAACTCCCATTCCCTCAAGAGATAATGATCAGATCCACGAAAGCACAGAAGACAGGATTCAACTCCACCCCTGAAGCGACCAGATGGTCTTCAGGGGCCTCCAAGAGAAGGTAGGGCTCGTCTTTGTGTCCCCACCCCTCTCACTGGCCCTCCCCATCAGCTGACCTCTCCAACAATGGTCTCGTTATTGATGAAGTCAGAAAAGTCCACGGTGGGGGTCCAAGGATCATTCTGATTGTAGATGCTGGTGCTGCTGGGCTCTTCCTCCTTCCGCTGGGTCACAGCCAGCTGGTACCTAGGGAGGCACAGTCACTAACCCTATCCTGTTGCCTGATTATGATGGGAGGGAGCTGAGCACGTGGACCTCAGCTTCCTCGTCTCATTCATTCAGTGACTTGGACACCACCCTGGTGATTCATCCAACACCTTTCCAGGGAATCCTGTTCACCCCCCTGCCATGTCACAGCATGACCCATCCACCAGACAAAAGAGGAAAAGGCTCTCAGACCTGAGTTTTAGTCCTGCAATGGAGGACATGCCAGTGCCCACTGTTGTGCCTTTTGAGAACCAGGAAATCCTTCTTGAGCTCTTAGTCACTTTGCATACAGTTTCAACTGAGTTTCCAATTGCCGCTCCAATGCTCCCTTCTCTCTCATCTTCCCCAGCTTCCCTCTGACATCCTGCCACTCACCTCCCCCAGCTGAAGGCTCTCTCCATGGAGCTGTTCTGGGGCAGCGGCTCGCCAGCAAAACTCAGCACCTGGATGCGGTAGCCCCGAGGGTGACCCCACTTGTTGCTGTGGTTGCTGGCCAGGTACAGGTAGCGAGGGGTGGCCTTTCCCAGGGGGAAGGTGGCCTGCTCCTCCGTCTCTAGCAGCTTCCGGGTCACCTGCAGCCTCTGCATCTGGTGCTCAGGACTCCAGGGTACAGTCATGGGGGTAAAGACCATGTCCTCGGCCCAGACCCAATTCTTCTGTCCTGCCGGGGTGAGTGAGGGAGGATGAGAAAGGATGGAGAAAGGAATGATCACCCGCCTGGCTTGGGGGCCAAAGAGAAGCCCAGAACTGAGAGTGCCCCCTACTCTCTTTCCCTCTCCCCAAAACATCCCCAATAGTTTAGCCAAAGCTGTTGACCTATAAAATATTTTGTCAGGATTTCATTGATTTATTGTTGTTTGTTCACTTATCTCATCAGTGGCTAGGCTCAGGCTTGGCCCTGGGGACACATAGATGAATAAAACTTCATCAAAACCCTTTTGCTCTCACAGAGGATGCAGAAGGCAATGCCCTGACTGTCCTGCTATATGAGAGGTGTTCACTCAAGATTCAAGGTTAGCCAAAACTGGTTTGAATCAGTGGATAGAGGTTGGCCTCGGACTGAAAGGTTGAAGGTTCGATTCAGGTCAAGGGCATGTACCTTGGTTGCCGGCACGTCCCCAGTAGGGGGTGTGCAAGAGGCAGCTGATCGATGATTCTCTCTCATCGATGTTTCTAACTCTCTATCCCTCTCTCTTTCTCTCTGTAGAAAATCAATAATATATATATATTTTTTTTAAAAAAAAGATTCAAGGTTGTAGGAATAAATGTGCAGGCAAGAAAAGGGGCCTTCGTGGGCAACTTTTGCCTGGCCTTACAGAATGTTACCAGCAGAGATGACCTAGCAGCACCTTCTAGGCAGGAACAAAACATGAGCCAAAGCAAAGGAGCATGACTGTCTTGTATGGGGTGTGTGTCCAGGGGCAGGATGGCTAAAGCAGTTCATAGGGAAGAATCTGAAAGGCAGGATGGAACTGCATTCTGAAGGGAAAGGCCTTATAGAAAATTCTGTGAATGGGATCCTATTTTGATGGGGAAAGTGAAACATGTATGAGGGAGCAGGCTGGCAGGGGCTGGTAGGTCCCTCTGGGCACAAAGTGAACCCTGGATCTGGGAGGAAGAGGAGTGGAAGCAGCAGAATGAGACCTGGCACCAGTAGGGTGAGGAGTTTAAGATATTTCAGATGCAGAACGGGAAAAAAAAAAAAAAATCTGGGGATCAGCTCAATGTGGGGAAGGAAAGTAAAAGGATAGACTCCAAGACTTCATGTTTCCTTGGCTCGCTCTGTGACTGCCAGGAACTACCTGGAAGGCTCCACAGGATCCATTCTATCCCTCATACTTAAGTTCAGAGAGAGATGGAAAACCAGGGAGAAGGAGGGCCCATCTCCCAAGGAAATGTCCAACCTGGGTGTCCCATGGCTGCCCTGCATGTGCCAGGGACTTGGCAGACTGCAAACAGATCCTCCCAAACACCAGCACCACAGGCCAGATGCAGAGAAATGAACTGAAAAGCAAATGGCTGCCCCCATATAAACAAAGGCGGGGGAAGAGGGCAAAGGGGAACCCTGTTGGCTCAGATCCTGCCTCATCCCTGAGTTTTGCCATTTCCCAAGACTTTCTGACGAGGTCATGCGGAAGGGTGTGGTCATGTACCCAGCCAACGAGCTAAGTAAAATCTAGCATCCAGCTCTCTCCTATCCAGCCAAAGAGGAAGCCTGGACTCCAAAGCTATGTACTAACTCTCATCTCTTCTTGCTATATATACAAGACAAATAGAGACAGCATTTTGAGCCCCCTCTTCTGGAATACTTTCCCCCTCCACGTTGTCTTACCTCCTACATCCAGATCCACCTTGTAGTGGGCGCTGTGGGTGTGGATGGTGCCCAGCGTGTGCTCCCCGACCTGGTTCCCGTAGCTTCGGGCAGCACCGAAGAGGAATGCTGAGCTGATGTAGCCCGTGGCGTGCAATTTGACTTCCATGGCCCCGTTGGCGTAGAAGATCATATCCCACACATAGTCATAGTTGAGCAAGGTAGACACAGATCTGAAGACCAGCACTGTCTCTGCAAGGCCCCCAAAATAATGGGAGTAGAAATCTGAGTGGTGTCGCCTCAGGGGGAGACCCTGGTTCTGTTCAAACACACAAAAGGCATCTCGTATCGTCTTGGGGGCTTGGGACTCCAAGAGGAAGTGCCAGTCCACGTAGGTGGCCAGGTAGGGGCAGTCGACCCCACGGGTCAGGGGCGTGGTGTACTTGCCCATGCCAAAGCTGCCATCAATGTAGCGGGTCACCATTGCCATGGGGGAGTTTCCGCCATAGATGGCCATGGCCTCTTGGAGGCTGATCTCATAAGCCAGCCGTTCTCCCTGGAAGCGGACGTCAAAGATCCTCGGGCCACTGAACGCTCCCAGCCCAAAGGAGAAAGTCCACAGGGAGGAGGCCACTCGACTCCCCCGCACACTGAAGCGGGGGCCCTCGGCATGGAACTGCAGAGGGGGAGCCGGGCCCGGGGGCACCTGGGACTTCAGGGACCAGGACCCACCTGTGCCACTGTCCGGGACCACCACCACGTTCACCAGGCCCGCTTCAAACTGGTCCTCCAGCTGAGCCAGACTCTTATAGTAGCGGCCTTGAAAGAACACCTTCTGGATGGTCCAGCGGGCAGGGTCCAGAGCCTTGTGGTCTACCAGCAGCTCCAGCCCCACGGGGTGCAGGAAGAACCCAGCCCCTGAGACGTTGTAGTAGAGGCCAAACCAGGTGGCCCGGTCCCCTGATTGCAGACCCCGGGGGGCTGAGGTTATCGTGACGAGGTTCCTTTCTTGGGGCTTGTAGAAGCAGCAGTGGTGGAGGAGACCGGCAGCCTGGGGCAGCTCTCTGTCGAAGATCATCTGGTCTATGTCCAGGTACTCTCGGAGGAGCACGGGGCGTCGGTGATAGGGCAGGGGGCCCCCATGGCGCTCCACAGTCACATCCCGCAGGTAGGTGGGGTGGGGCAGTGGTCCCACCACCAGCTCACTCACGTTGGGCTGGGGCTGTCCGCCAAAGAAGATGATGGCCAGTGCCTCCCGGGTGGGCGGGGGGCTCCCCCCGTCCAGGTGAGCCAGGGCTGCAGCCTTGGGGGGCAGCTGCAGCTCCACGGAGAAGACACAGGTGTCTGATGGGAGGGCCTGGGCTGCATCCACCAGGCCTGGCCCCAGCTTCTGGGTCAGAAAGCTCATCACAGCCGTCAGCTCTTCTGGGCTCAGGTCTGCAAACAGCTGGCTCTGGTCAGAATGTGTCCAGGGCTGGGCACTGGGAGATACGGAGGGACAGCGGGGAGGCAGGCTGGGCTCACCCCCATGTCCTCCTCTGCCAGCCAGCAAGACACACACCAAGGCGAAGATGGTGATGACCGCCAGAGTGAGGAGCACCAGGGTTGTCTTCTGGTTCATTGTCGTGTGAACCGAGGAGCAGAGGGTTAAACAAGAATGGAGGTGTGTGTATTCTCAGGTCAGCAGAAAAGGGGTTCTCTTGGCTCCTATACTGGGGGTTCCTGGACTCTGGTTTAGGTTCTCAGCATCCATCCAGAGGCACAGGAAACTGAGGGTGGGAAGGACTGGGGAGGCTGGGGCTTGGGGCGGGGCAGGCCGGGGCTTGGGGCGGGCCTGATGCCCACAGCAGTGATTTCCACAGACCTTACATGGCTTTGTCTCCCAGACTCCAAATCAGACTCTGGGTCAGGGTTGGAGCTGGCGAGAGTTGGGGTAGGGGAAAGGGGAGGGATTTCAAAATAATGTAACTGACCAGCCTGAGCACAATAACGTACCACCATTAAGGAGTGGGAGTCTGGAATCCCACACCCTCCTCAGTCCCGTCTCTCCTCCCCCCTCAGCCCCCACCTTTACAGGGCCAGATGTTCCCTTTCCTGTATCTTGGAACCATTATTCTCCTTCCAAGGAAATCCCCACCCCCCAGCCCTTCAGCTTCCCAAGCAGCATTCCTTGGCAAGTACTGTCCCCCTTTCCTCTCTCTGTCATTGCTAATTTTCTTGGCCAGAATCCTTAATATTCTCTGGGGAATTCTGGTTATTTCAAAAGTCACATAGAAGAAATTCAAATAAAAATCTTGTAATGTTTTTTTTATAAATTGCACATACCATCTAGTTTTTAAAATATACTTTTATTGATTTCAGAGAGGAAGGGAGAGGGAGAAATAGAAACATCAATGATGAGAGTGAAATCATTGATCAGCTGCCTCCTACACGCGCCACACACTGGGGATTGAGCCTGCAACCCAAGCGTATGCTCCAATCCCCCTCCTGGTTCATAGGTCGACGTTCAACCACTGAGCTATGCCGGCTGGACCATATCATCTATTTTTACAAAATTCTATTTATTCTTCCATTTCAATATTCCTGATGAAAAAAAATCTGGTATAATGGTCACCAAATGTGAACCCTAGCTATTTTGGAGCGGTAGGATTTGTGGTGTTTTTGCTTGAATGTTTTTTTTTAAATATATTTTTATTGATTTCAGAGAGGAAGGAAGAAAAAGAGATAGAAACATCAATGACGAGGAAGAATCATTAATTGGCTGCCTCCTGCACACCCCCATGGGGATCAGTCAAGCTGGAAACCCAGGCATGTGTCCTGACTGGAATCTAGCCCTGACTTCTGGGTTCATAGTTCGACCCTCAACCACTGAGCCACATTGGCCCACCTTGCTTGAATATTTTAATAAGAATATAATCTGTATAAATTCATCATTTTAAAAAGACACCGAAAATATGAATTAACCAAAAGGCTACATGAAGGTTTAGTGTTGGAAGGGGCTGTCTGAAACATTAAGAGGATAGAAGTCAGGGGAACAGGAATTGGGAACAGAGAGGAAGGTACAAATGTCTTCTCACCCACCCACCCTACCTCTGTGTCCCACACCCTTTGGTTAAAAGTCTTGATAAGAGAAAGGGGGCAAGTCTGGGACACAGGCTGCCAGGTGAGGGATGCAGGCCACAGGGTTGACATGGCAGAGCCCGGCATCCTGGCCCTTCTCAAAGTAGACGCTGCCAGGGGAGAAGATGGAGGGGTCCTCATCAAAGAAGTTATAGGGTCGAAGCAAGAAGCCGACTCTGTTCCCCACAGTCACTGTGTTGGGGATATCCTCGGCATGGGGGATGTGTAGGAAGCTGGCTGTAACCCAGGCCACCAGGTCCTGCAGGAAGAAGGAGGAGCCGGAGGACTTTGGAGGTTGAGACCCAGAGAATTACCCCTTAGCCACAATTCCCACCCTCCAGCCTCAGCCCTGTTCCCACCTCCTCCCAGTCCCAGGTCCACAAAACGTGGTGATCTGTGTAGGGCGATCAGCCCTGTTCCCACCTCCTCCCAGTCCCAGGTCCACAAAACGTGGTGATCTGTGTAGGGCGATCAATATCCCAGAGCTAATCTCACCCCTAGGAGGGATGACCCATGTTGGTCATCAAAGAACCCCTTGACTCCTGAATCTGAGCACTGGAAACACACCCTCCCTCCAATCTGGGGCCAGGTGTTGGGCAGCCAAGACACCAGACACAGAAGGGCCCCTCTCCTCTGTCTCTAGATCCACCAACCTCTCCTAAGAGAGTCTCGTTATTGATGAAGTCAGCAAAGGCAACAGTGGGTGTCCAGATGTCATTCTGGTAATAGATGCTGCTGCTCTGTGACTCCTCCTCTTTCCTCCGGGTCACCGCGAGCTGGTATCTGACCAGGAATGTCATAAGAAGGTGGAGTCAGACAATGTCAAAGACATTTCCTGTCCCAGAAATCTTTTGGATCAGATCCAGTATGACATTTCCCATCTCATATCTATTTGGATCTGAGAGGAGGGACAGAGGTGGATAGTAAGCCAAGAATAGTGCGTGGGTGTCTCCCAGAGCTGGGATGGGGGTGAGGATCAGTTCTTCCCTACCACCCAGGGCCCAGGGCTCTCCTCACCTCCCCCAGCTGAGGGCCTTCTCCATGTCACTCTCCAGGGGCATGTGTATGCCGAGGGGGCTGTGGATCTGGATTCGGTACCCGCGCTGGTGACTCCAGGCATTAGTCTGGTTGCCAGCCAGGTAAATGTAGCGAGGAAGGGGACTTCCCAATGGAAAAGCTGTCAGATCCTCCCTTCCCAGGACCTGGCGAGTCAGCTGTGGACGCTGAAGTTGGTGCTCTGGACTCCAAGGGGCTGCCACAGGTTTAAACACCACGTCTTCAGCTACCACCCAGTTTTTCAGCCCTGCCAGGGGGAGGGGAGGGAGAGGAGGTCCATACCAGGTAAGACAGGCTCCTCATCGCCCCCACCAGGAACACTGCAGTGGCCTGACAGAGGGCAGCAGAACTCATCAGAGAGCACTCCATGCTGGGAGCCAGAAGCTCTAGACTTGGGAGCCAGCCCATCTTCTTCAACGCTGCCCTGTCCAGTACAGTTACTGCCAGTCACAAGTGGCTATTTGCATTTAAATTAAAAAGTCAGCTCCTCAGTCACACTAGCCACATTGCAAGTGCTCCACAGCCACATGTGGCCAGTGGCTAATGTATTGGACAATGCAGATATAGAACATTTCCGTTATTGCGGAAAGTTCTAGTAGCACTGGTCTACCCTTGGACAAATCATTTGCTTCTTTGATTCTCATTTTCCAAATCTCTACACTGGACATAATTAAAGCTGTTCTCTGGTTGGGCTCTGTAAATGGAAAAATACACGCAGGTGGCTAGTAACTGTGAAAGGGACATTTGTCTTGGAGAAGCTGCCCAGGAAAACCAATTCCCTTCCATGGTGCCCTGCACACCCTTCTCCGCTCTGAGAATTTGCTTTCACTGTTTTTTCAGAAGTGAATAGATTTATGTCCTTAAATTGTCTGAGAACCCCTTGGAACTTTATTGATAACCTGAACTCATCACTCCACTCGGCACCGGATCATAAACATGGACTCACTTTAAAACAGGAAAGTAACTGTGAAGACAGCTGGCTCAGGGGCACTCTACTAAAGCGGTGCCTCTGCTGGTCTCCTGTGCACAGGGGGCCTGGCACAGCCTCCAGCCCACAGCACCAACCTGTGCTGTACCCACCAGGTACCCAATAAATGTTATTTGATTTTACTTCCTGACAAGGCTCTCTGATACCAAAAATGCTGGAGAAACTTCAAATCAGAAAAGTCATATTCTAAATATGCTATTTTCTTAGTTCTTCCTCCCCTCTGCCTCCACATCACCCCCACAGGCACACCGCCGTCCTCCCCCTTCCCCGCCCCACCACACACACACACACACACACACACACACACAGTCATGTCTTTATACCTAGGAGAAAAAGAAAATGTTTCACAAGAAATATCCTTAGTTATAGCACATTATACTTGGATAACCATTTTCTGTCTCATCTCCCCCCACCCTCAACTTCCCTACCTGTAATATGGAGAGGGTCTGGTGGATTTCTAATTTTCTTTCTGGGTCTAATTGTCTGATTTGATACGTTGGTTATTTTCTGTCCCTGACAAAACGTGTCAGGAGCAGCAAGTCCTCTTTGGGCTCTGAGCCCTACTCGAGAATTTCCTTTCTACACTTGCAGCAAGCCTACTCCGTGCTGGCCATGCCACCAGAGAGAGAGCCCATTGTGATGCCATGTGCTGACAGGAATGAGATGCCCCCCCCCCCCTCCTCAGAAGGATGGGGCCACTATCCTATATCCCCATGTCTGAAATCCTGTGGAGCAGCTCCCATCTAGTAACTCCCTCTCGTGCCCCCAAACCATCTCTCCTCTGAAAACCTCTGGGATGGACTGCTTCCTACCTTTGCTCAGGTCCCTGCTTTCCCCTCCTCTACTGACTCAGAATTAGGGAGAACAAAGAGCTCCAACTCTAGTCCCATTCAGACTTAGGGCCAACTCACCACGCACAGTCACCTGAGGCTAAGGTAGACAGGCGCAGCCTTTACATTAAACTAATTTCACAATGGCGGCAAGTCAGAGGGGCTGGATGATCCCCCTTCCCCTACCCCTTCTGCCAGGCTCAGTAAGCCCAGTATTTCAGACCGACGGCAGCTGAATACACTTAAATCAGTCTGTGCTCTGTTGCCACAATGAATTGTGGAGCTGGTCTGCTCCTCTACTCTTCAGGCTTGATGTGGGGGTGAGGAGTCTCTGTTCCCTCTGCCCCATCCTAACTCTCCATCTTAATTCCCCGAGCACTCACCTGCCACATCCAGGTCCAGCTTGAAGTGGAAGGCATGCGTGTGCACCGTCCCCAGCACTCGTTCCCCCACACGGTTCCCAAAGAGGAGGCTTCCCTCTCCCCCACTCAGGAAAGCTGTGTTGACAAAGCCTGTGGCATGGACCCGCCCTTCAAGCGCCCCATTTGGGTAAAATACAAAGTCCCAGATGTAGTCATAGTTGCCTACAGATGACACAGACCTGACTACAACAGCTGAGCTGGCCAAACCACCGTAGAAATGACTCTGGACGTGATTGTAGTGCCTTCGAAGGGGTAGTCCTTGGGCCTCCTCAAATATACACACAGCCCCTGGGAGCAGCTGGACGGCCCCTTTGCCCACGAATACATGGATATCCACCATTGTAGACTGATAGGGGCAGTCCACGCCCCGCACCAAGCCCCGGCTGTTTCGGCCAAGTCCGTAGCCGCTATCCAAGTATCGGGTCATCATTGTCTTGGGTGAATCAGCACCATAGACAGACACACACTCCTGGACACTGACTTCATAGGCTACTCGCTCACCCCGGAACCGGATGTCAAAAATCCTCATGCCACTGAACACCCCATGACCAAAAGTGAATGTCCAGAGGGAGGACACCACCAGGTTCCCTTGGACGCTGTATTGGGGGCCCTGGGGTGAGAACTGAAGCGGTGGGAGAGGACCTGGGGGGACCCGAGACCTCAGGGATGAAGCCCCATTTGGCAGGGGCAGAGGAACTCTAACCACTTCCAGCCGGCCAGCCTTAAACTCCCATTCCAATTGGCTCAAGTCTGCATAGTAGCGTCCAAGGTAGAAGACCTGCTGGACAGCCCAGCGAGCAGGGTCCAGGGCCCTGTGGTCCAGCAGTAGCTCCAGCCCCACTGGGTGTAGGAAAATCCCAACACCCGAGACGTTATGGTGGAGGGCTAGCCAGGTAGTACGGTCCCCTGAGCGCAAGCCACTGGGAGTGGCCTGCACAGGGGCCAAGGTGGAGCCGTTGTAGTTGAAGACCGAAGCCAGGAAGACTGGTGCCTTGGGTAGCTCCACCTCTTTCACGTGCTTCCACATCTGGGCAAGCTCAGTTCTCAGCATGGGGCGTCGGTGATAGGGCAGGGGGCCCCCATGGCGTTCCACAGTCACATCCCGCAGGTAGGTGGGGTGGGGCAGTGGTCCCACCACCAGCTCACTCACGTTGGGCTGGGGCTGTCCGCCAAAGAAGACGATGGCCAGTGCCTCCCGGGCGGGTGGGGGGCTCCCCCCGTCCAGGTGAGCCAGGGCTGCAGCCTTGGGGGGCAGCTGCAGCTCCACGGAGAAGACACAGGTGTCTGATGGGAGGGCCTGGGCTGCATCCACCAGGCCTGGCCCCAGCTTCTGGGTCAGAAAGCTCATCACAGCCATCAGCTCTTCTGGGCTCAGGTCTGCAAACAGCTGGCTCTGGCCAGGGTGTGTCCAGTGCTGGGCACTGTGGGATACAGAGGGGCAGCGGGGAGGTTGGCTGGAACCCCCTTGGCTGGACAGCAAGACATAGGCCAGGGCAAAGATGGTAATGAGGGACAGGGCCAGGAACACGAGGACTACCTTGACATTCATGGTGAGTGCCGAGAGTTGAAACGAGAGTCCTAGCAGCTGCTGCTTCCAGTTACTGACATCAAATCAGGGTTTATATTCAGTGGGATGGATAGGAATGGAGAAAACTCCACCCTGTGGGCTGAACAGGAAATTTCTGACCTTGATTTATATAATCCTGTTCCAATTTTCTGTTCTGTGGTTTGGCCCAAAGCACTACTTCCATGTCATAGCATCTCCCCTGCCCCTGAAGTATTGGCAGCTGGATTTCCATCATTTAGACCAGACTAGAGGGCATTTGAAGTACCATTGAACTGCACCTTCCACTCAAAATGGGTCTGAGGAAAATGCAAATCTCAGATGCCCAATCAAGTCCTGTGTGCTGAATGCAGGCACCAAAACCGTCCATTTTCCACCCTCCTGGCAGGCACTATGCCCCAATATTTCCAGGATCTACTGCCTAGGTCAGCAGTAGGCACTGTGCTCGGCCAGTTGCCTAAGGTTAAGCGCCTGATCCGTAGCCTTAGACCTCTTCTATCTAGTTAGTGAGAAAGGAAAGATGGTGAAGGCCTGAGCTTAGCAGTCAGGTTTCCAGGTCCCTATGCTGTGACCTCAGGGAAGGTACCTATCATGAATCTATGTCCTCACCTATAAATGGATAAAACACATGAAGACTAAATGTGATCATGCATATAAAGTGCTGAGCAGAGCCTAACACAGGGTAGGCATTCAAAAAGTGTTACCTACTGATTATTTGTGAAACAGAACAGAGCAGATGTTCCTCCATTGTTTAGGACCTTAAATCTCTTTTTGCAGAGACAATGAGGGAATCATTGGAAACCAGAAGGCTACGTTACAAGGCGAAAGTTGAGGAAACTTTATTTCAGAGGGAGGTAGAGTCCTAGACAGCCAGCCCTCCAAGTCATTTGAAAACCAAAACCTGGCATCTCCTTAAGAAATTTAAGACATTATTCTGAGGGGAGAGTTAGTATAAGGTAATAAGAATGACACGGTAGGGTGCGCCTTGAACCAGGTGATTCCCATGTGGAACTAGAGCAGCCTCTACTGGCAGTTCATGGGTATCACCGGGGAAGGAAGGAAGGAACTGGGATCTTGTTGAGGGTAGAGACAGAAGGCAGCTTAGATTTGGGAAGAGCTCTCTCTCTTTCACATAATTCAGGCTTAATACAAATGAAGGACCCACCTTTGCCTCTTGATAGGCAGAAACCTCAATCTTTCCATTATTCCAGAAAAAACGAGGAAGCATAATTGGTATAAAAACACAGAATAGGATGGCTGGTGGTGTATGTGGAGGTGGGTATCCCAATGTACACGCATATGAGTATGGGTATGTCTCTAGCCACCAGAGAATCTCATCAGGGTCTGCGGCTTTAGAAAGAGGTCGAAGTACCTGTATTTTTAATAATTTCTTGACATGGTAAAAGAATTTTACATTACGATCCAAGGGTGGTGGGGTGAGGAGAAGGGGCAGAACAATCCAACAAACAAAAGGGGAAACAGAAATGCTTGGTGGAAGGGATCTGAAGGGTGGGTAGGGGCATTGCCCAACTAAAATGCAATTGGTTTGTTACTGAATACTATTCGTGGGAAGACAGCATTCTGACTCCTCTATAGAGCATATTGGGAGTAAAAATGATGCATCCAGGTGGAAATATGGTTAGGGGTTAGAAGACAGACAGGGGAAGAATAAGTCAGAAATAGACACTGAGAGAGTCACTGGCTGGCAGCTGCAAATACTGACTCTCCAGTAGTGACAGAATAAAAAAGTAGGGGATATCTCTGGAAGATTCGAGAGATAGGGGGCAACTCTTCTATGGTTTTGACTTGCCCAGCAGATTTCCACATACACACGTGTACTTGCCTGTGTTTGCGTGCACACACATATACACATAAGTGACTGCTTTCCCTGGAAGCACAATACTATAAATAAGGAATATTTTTCCCAAAGAAAAAGACCAGGAGGAGCAGCAGCAGCTGGTGCTCACAGCTAAAGACACTCCCACCCCCAATTACAACTGGTGTGGAAAGAGGCAGTCAGGAGTCAGAGGACTGGCCTTTGCAATAATGCCCAAAAGGACCTGAGTCACAGAGAAAGGAACTTTCCCCAACCCCTCTGCTTCTCGCCTCTTGGTTCTCCTCCAACTCAATAGCCTGTGGGTACGAAGAGGCTACAATATCAGGAGACGATGGGTGCCGGTGGATGATGACTGAGACAACTGTCACCTCCTGAACAGTGTGTGTAACAGGGTTTGTGGGGGAGGGTGGGGAGTGTCAGGTAACAGAGTAGGAAGGCAGATGTGTGCATGTCTGTATGTGTGTGTGTGTGTCAATCATGCACATATGTGTATGTGAAAATTCTACTTATAAAAACATCTGAAGGACTTAGGGACTTAGCCAAGGTCTATGGTGCTTCTTGTCATGTATGTAGATGGAAAACCTGAAGTCATCACCAGGACAACTGGGACAGGAAGGATCCAATATCCCACACTAGCAAGAGATACTAGCCTTCTATCAGAAGAGAGGAGCTAGTCTCCCTGACCCCAGATCTTAGAAAAAAACAAAAACCTAGCACTTTCCTTTTAGCTCCCTCAGCTCCTAACAAACTAATCATCAAAAGAGAACACAAAGCCCAAGACAAAGAAGGGGGTGGGGAAAGAAACACAAGTATTCTGGTGCCAACATCTTGTGCACACAAACCTGGAGTTCCCCAGAAATTAGAACAGCTCAGGTGTGGGGTATGAGGGAAGGAAAGAGTTCCTGAGGCCTGAAAAAAGAGGTAAACACGTCACAGAACTACATGAGAGTTTCATTAGACTCTAACTAAAAACAGAGAGAGGTGTGATTACTATTTCCAGCCAGTTTCCCCGTCACGATAGTCATGTAACAAACCAAGGCAATGTCGGTCTTGAGCCAGACTCACAGAGTCCCCTGGCCCCGGCCCCGGCCTCAGTACAGTGTCTCTGCATTGCTGCTCCGGGGCCGTTTGATCTTCTCAATATTTTTCAGGATCATGTCATGTAGGGTGACCTGGGAGAGGAGAGATCGGAGAATCACACCTCTATTCTACCTCCACCTCAAGAAAAGATCCCTCCCAACCAATTACCCAAGTAATCATTTACATAATCCCCTTCTTACTCATTTGAACCTGAAATCAAGGTGGATGCTCCACCTCTCTTCTACCCCCAAACTAGGTATCCCTGGGTATTTCCAAGATCCCGAGTGTCTGATAATAACTAACATTTGTTGAACACTTAACATAACAAGAAGTGCACTGGGTCCTTTAATGCATTATCTCGCCAATTTTTTAAAATATATTTTATTGATTTTTTCACAGAGAGGAAGGAAGAGAGATAGAGAGTTAGAAACATCGATGAGAGAGAAACAACAGACCAGCTGCCTCCTGCACACCCCCTACTGGGAATGTGCCTGAACCAATGTATGTGCCCTTGACCGGAATCGAACCTGGGACCTTTCAGTCCGCAGACCGAAGCTCTATCCACAGAGTCAGACTGATTTCAGCAATCTCACTAATTTTTTTTAAACCATCTTTGTGCAGTAGATACGCTAATGTAAGTTTCATTTTAGAGATGAAGAAACCTTGAAGTCTGAGGTTAAAACAACTTCCCAAGGTCACACATTACAGGTGGAGCTGGTTCCAAGCCTAAATATGTCTGACTAACAACTTCATCTTCCCCTCTGTACCATATAGCAGGTGGAAAGAAGGAAGATGCCCAGCTATATGCCTTCAACTCCATAGTTCTCGACACTTGGTTGATAAGCAGAATTCGTTCTATCAACTTTACTTCCGTCCCCGCTCTCAACCCACAGAGAGTGGCAAGAAATTTACCACCAGAACTAAGAAAAGCTAGGGCAACTGTTGGCAGGGATCGAGGTACTTACATACTGATTCCTTAGTTCTGATATGATGAGACGGAGGCTGATATATTCTTTCTCATCAATCTCTGTGACGGTTCGGCGATAGTCCTCCTGAAAGAAGGGGCAGAGAAAAGGCTCGTTCCCAAGGCTGAGCTATCCACAGTCAGCTCTTTCCCCACAACAGTCACTCCTCCCTCCCCTACCACTTCCACCCTCAGGCCACAAAACCCTTACTTACCACATGGGGATATTTAGCTATTTTAGAAACCAATTTGGCTCTTGTAATATAATATCTGGAAGGAGAAAAAAGAAGAGAAAGCTGCAGGAGACCCTGGACAGTGCTTACCACCTCACCAGCCCCCAATTTCTGGGCCAAGCCCAAGAAGGCCTACCTAGAAATCTGGTCCAGATACGATGCAGCTTCACTCTCAACAGTCCTTAGTTCTGCAACTGTCTCCTCCTGAAAAACAACAAACAAACAAACACGGTGAGTCAATATCACTTCCACGTTACTCCACAAGGAACCAAAGAGAAAGGAAAAACAAAGCAGGGGAGATGAGAGTCTCTCTCCAACCTTCCCTTCCAGTAATGTAATTACCTGAATAGATACCCCGAAGTTGTTCCCATCTTCTATCCTGGGAATCAGGAGCTGTACCCACATTTTGACCTGCAGGGCAAAAAGACCAAAATATATATGAGGACCAAGGCTTGAGGAACATGGCTTTTTCTAGTGATGCCATGAAGAATACAATTCATGCTGCTGGGGCCAGGTGCCAGGAGCACAGGAGCCAACATACTTAGTCTGCCAACACCCATATCACCTCCATGCCTCCAGCCCCACCATCCATGATTTTCATAGGTCAAGCCAGGCTGGTGGAAGTCAGCCCACAGGTCACTAGCCCCTGCCTCACCGTGTTGCATTTCTCAATCAGCAGCCGGATCTCAGGTTTCACTTTCTCAATAATGTCCACCAGCTGCTGGTTGCTTTTTAGCATCCCATTGGGCATCACAAACACCTTGGTTCCTAGGCAAGGACATGAAGAAGGCCAAATGATTGGGGTGGGGGCCAGGATATAGCATCCTCCACCCTTCCCTCTACTTCCCCGAAATGCTATGACCTCTGCCTTTTTATCTGTCACAACAAACACTGATACCACCAACAGAACCAAAGAGAACATATGGATTAACAAATAAATGAGCATCTAAAATATGCCCTAAGTCTAAAGGGTAAGGAAATTAAAATATGCTCTAAAGACTTAATGTACCAACTATTATTAAAGAGGGAAAAAATAACATGGAACTGGGACTTCTGTGAGAAATCTGCAATAGGTAGTGACCCCCAAGTCCTTTCCTCTGGCCAGTTTACACTAAGTTAAACCCTCCCTTGTTACTGGAAAATCAGGTTCAGTGTGCTAAATAATGCTACATTGGGAAGATCTGAGAATGTTAACTCTGGGAAATAAAGTCAGATCCTGCTTCCAGGCCAGAACACTAGCTCCATCTGCTTCTAAGGCTGTAAGCCAGAGGGTGGAGGGGGTGGGGCAGCTCTTACCTTGAAAGGCCTCTTCACACTCATCCAACCTTCGCTTCTTGTAAGTGGGCTGAGGAAACAGACAGAAATCAGCCTCCTCTCAACATTCACATCCCTATCACAAGTTATACTTTAAGCAAGTTTAATCCCTTCTTTGACACCAGAGGTTATCCTATCCTATATAATAAAAGGCTAATATGCAAATTGACCGAATGGGGAAGGACTGGCCGCTATGACACACAGTGACCACCAGGGGGAAGACTCTCAATGCAGGAGTTGCCTCAGGAAGCTCTCATAGGGGGAGCGCTGCTCAGCCAGAAGCTGGGCTCACGGCTAGCGAGTGCAGAGCTAAGGCTTCCGACTGACAGCTTCAAGTTAGGCCCCATTCCCCAAGAGGACACAGCCCGAGGGCTCCCAGACTGTGAGAGGGCGCACTGGGCCTCTAGTCTTATTAATTTATGCAAGTTACTAAGTACATAAAAGACTTTAAGAAAACATTCTCTAATTGTAAGACCAACCTTTCAAGAAATATAACACATTAAGCAACGAGAGGGACAGCCAGCAATTTTCAATCTTTTCCCTCTCCTGGCACACAAAAACCAATTACTAAAATTCTGTGGCACACCAAAAATATATTTTTTGCCTATCTGACCCAAAACAAGGCATAATTTTGATTCATTCACACTGGATGCCATTGTTGTGTTGGCTGTGTGTTGGCTGTGTCATTTTTTTCAATTTGCCAGTCAATTGAAAAAAGGTCAGTGCTCCTGACTAAAGAGTCAGAAATTGCATGTCTAAAAAATTCTTACAGTACATCAGTTGAAACTGGCCACTATAAAATAGGAAAAAAGAACCTTTCAGTGGAGGGTAAAGATAATTAAGGGAATATATATAAATCTGCTGGTTCCACAAAGAAAAACAATATTAAATCAACAAACACATATTTAGCACCTGTTATGTACCAGAAACAATGCTAGGTGCTGGGAATACAAAGATGATTAAGACAGTTTCTGCTTTCCAGAACTAACCAGTTCTAATAAGGAGACAATAAGGCAGACAAAGAACAATGCAGTGTCATCAGTGTTACAGAATGTGAACATTAATCGATGAGGACTAGGTAATAAAGATGCACAGCAAAGACAGGGACTACAGTTATATATCAAGAAGGACTACTCACTCATTCAATAACAAGACTCAAGACATTGAAACATGGAACAGATAAGAAAAAGTCTTGCTTAGAGCCATGGAAACAGACCAGATAACCCAAGGGAGCCTGCAGCTATTAAAACTCACTCTCACACAGAGTAGCATTAGCAAATTCATCTCATGCTATAAATGAAATCAGGATCTAAAGGGGGTGTACTGGAGTCATCATGTCTGTAAGAGCCCCCATTCTTAGATCCAAATCCCACTGTCTCCTCTGTACACGTTCACACTGACCAGGGAATAGAGGACAGAGAACCTATTGCTACAGAAGACAAAGATAAATATAGGACACTTACACCATCCAGTCCATCGTGGCTATTGGTGAGAAGAATGGGGTCAGGGACAGGGAGATTCATGTCTGAGTGGATCTGAGTTAGGTCATGAATGTTTAGAATTGGTTCCTGAAAAAGAGACGCCCACCCCCCCAACATTAGTCTTTTCAAGATGAACAAATAAATATTTCATGTGAAGGGCAAGAGTGCTTTACAGTACAAGACAAAATGGAACCAACACATGATTTGTCCCATTTGACGGAGAGATTGGGGGGGAGGGGAGGGCAAAAAATTGGGAAATCTGAGGAAAAGGGTCTCTCACCTTCAAAAAACTATCAAGTTCTAACAACTTCTTTGGGAAAAAATTTGCCACCAAGTCTTCTGCCTAAGGTGAGAAGAAATGCGTTAAAATTGTGGGATGGTATCTCTCAGCAGTTCTCTCCCCTTTGGGAAACTCCCAAGTATTAACCAACACTCGTTTTGCTATTTATTTCACTCACCTCACTTGTGATCCGCTCCCTGAAAGAATCAACCTAAAATCAACAAAGAGCAATTCAGTAAGAGCAAATCAGTACCTGGCAACAGGGGTAAGAGCGGGATAGGGAAACCCAAGTCTCGCTGTCTTTCCCTCACCTTGTGATTGTAGTGAGAAGCTGAGAGGCCCCCAGACTGCAAGTACTTTATTTTTTTGAGGACCCATTTCTCCATCTCAGGAGAGGGAAGCAGGGCTTGAGGGCAGCACTCACCTGTCTTCCCTCTCTCCCTCCCTGTGTGTGAGGCGGTATGAATTTGTGAGCAGGTGGATAGGGGAGGTGTGAGCTCACAAACGTGCCAGCTCCCTTTCAGACCTGAGATACGAGGCAGGCCTGACTCCAAGGACAGCGGCAGCGTCCGGAGGCGGGGCTGGGGAACTTCCAGCTGTCACGAACCTCGAGCACTGAATCCACCACGTGTCCGCGGGCTCTCCATCACCAGACAAGGCACAGAAGGCCACCCTCCATTACCCTCTCTCCCTTGATGCGGTCTCCGGGAATGGGGAAGGGGAAGGGGGGGCTGGGCTGAGCGGAAGCTCAGAGCTGGTGTCCCCAGGGAGACAAAGACGCCATGGGGAGTAGGGAGCCGATCAGAGTGCTCCCAGATCGAAGCGAGGGGAAAGGGAGCCCTAACCGGTGTCCCTACCTTGAGCTTCACTTCCTGATCCACCTTCAGCAACGAGGCCATGGCCGGGCAGGGCCGTGTTCGCTCCGCTGGAGACCGGAGGCGCTGTGGGCTCCGGGGAGGGGGTCAGAGGGACGGGAGTCAATTCGGCTTCTCTCGGGGCGTGGCTGCCCTCGCTGGCTCACCGGCTGCTCACTGGCTCGCTCGCTCCCTCCCTCGGTGCCGCCTGCCCGCCCGCCCGCCTGCTGCCTGCTGCTGGATGCCTGCTTGCACTATCGCTTGCCCTCCCGGCTTTCGCCGCTCACGCCGGAAGTTGCGTCACAGCCAAGCGCCGGGGCTCCGGCGTGGACGCGCGCGCGCGTGCTTTGCGCAGCCGCACTGAGGTCTGGTGCTCGCCTCTCCTCCCAGGTTCGTGTCTCCAGAGCTGGGTGAGAGGAGAGTTAGCGGGAGGGTGGCGGGGGCTGGTGTACTGAGAACTGAGTCCCAGAGAGACCCGGGAGCTGTGTGGCTCTCTGCTAGCTCGTCGGCACTCGCCTTCACCGGAGGAACCTAAGGAGCCCTGCACTTTGGAGGACCGGACCGGCGACGGCGTCGCACCCCGAGTGACGTCAGACCGAGGAAGCTGGCGGTCCAGGCTCTGAGTCCAGGAATCCAGTCTATGGCTCCTGCTGCTTCCTCCCGTTGGTCGGGGAAGCTCTGGTGCTGCGCGAGAGCCAAACAGAGGACGGGGTCTGTGGTACCAGGCCTCCTCACCTTTCTCCATCACTTACTCATACGCTCCCAGGCATTGGAGAGCCACTGCCTGATGGGCAGACTGACCCCCAGGGTGGGGGAGGCTACACAGCGATGCCAGTCAATCCTGGAACAGAACCCAGGTCTCCTGACTTCCAGGACAGTGCTGTATCCATTTTCCTAATGAAAGGCAACTATCATGTCTCCACTCACCCTTTATTTTTTCTTCTTTTTCAGTTTGTCTGTTAACACTGGTTATTTCGCCAAATAAAATGAGTCAGAACACTGGGCTAGGCTCTGGGACAACACTGCCTCAGAGCCTAGAAATAGGATGTGAGTCACTTAGTGTAAGTTAAAATCTTCTGGTAGCCACATTAAAAGTAAAAACTGGTAGTAAAGTTCATTTTAATTATATATTTAACCTCGTTTCGCCAAATGTTATTTAAACACCTAATATTTAAAAATATTAATAAGGTCATATACGTTTTTTCCTCATACCGAGCCTTTAAAATCCAGTATGAGTTTTACACTCAACTGCACATCTCAGTTCAGAGTGAAATATGGTAGCAATCATACTTGGGTAAAAACTGTTTGAATTTTAACCGTGCTATCTGACTTTGACCTTCGGTTACTTGCTTAAACAATAGAGTAGTTACAGGAGACTGACTCCCACTGACTCAGTAGCTTCAGGGATAGAAACTATAGATAACCTTTAGAGATTTTCTAATCTCTGAGTTCTGCTTTTGTATCATGGGCAAGATAGGGCCAATTCCAATGTTCCCAGCCTTTAGAATTTAGAACAAAGGGAAATTCCTGTGGTTTGAAGCCTCTAAAAGGATTGCCTACACCTGGATCTGTGCAGGTCGTGTGGGGCCCACCTGCATGCGGTGCTCCCGCAGCAGTCCTGGCCAGTTTTTCAATAAATCCTTGCCTGGCTTTTTTTAAATGAATCGTCAGCCTCCAGTGGTCTTATTTTGAACCCAGGATTTGACCCCACAACAAGAGGAGCCACAATGCAGTACTGAATAGCCACAAATGACTAGTGGCTCCTGTATTGAACAGCACAGTTCTGGGATATCAAAGGTAAACTCAAATTCTCTGATCTCATGGGGATTAATTCTGGGGAAAGACACCAGAAAATAAACTGAAAATATGACAAAATGGCCGAAACCGGTTTGGCTCAGAGTCCCGGGTTTGGTTCCCGTCAAGGGCATGTACCTTGGTTGCAGGCACATCCCCAGTAGGGGGTGTGCAGGAGGCAGCTGATGATGTTTCTGACTCTGTCCCTCTCTCTTGCTCTATAAAAAAATCAATAAAAATTTTTTTAAAAAATATGACAAAATGTAATAAATATTAGAAAACAAGTTACTGATAAAGAATAGCATGGGTTTTATTTTAATCACTATTAAGCTTTCAAATTCCACCTCAGCTCTTTATTAATTGTGCTATCTTGATAAAATTACTGGAATGCTGAGTCTCAATTCCCTCATCTGTCAAATTTTATTTTAATCAATATTAATAAATAAGTTTGGCTCAGTGGATAGAGTGTTGGCTTGGGGACTGAAGGGTCCCGGGTTCGATTCCAGTAAAGGGCATATACCTTGGTTGCGGGCACATCCCCAGTAGGGGGTGTGCAAGAGGCAGCTGGATCGATGACTCATCGATGTTTCTAATTCGCTATCTCTCTCTCTTCCTCTCTGTACAAAATCAATAAAATATATTTTTAAAAATAAATAAATATATGTAATTCTGTAGGGTTGTACTGGAAATCATATATATTTAAAAGAACTAGTTCTTTTAAATATATATGATTTCCAGTACAACCCTACAGAATTACATGCATGTATACCCTATGTGACATACACTATTATGCTCACTTCAGAAACAAGGCAGACACTACATACATAGTAGCTATTGTCAAATAAGCTACCTGTTAATGTTTATTCTTTAAACTATGTAATTATCATCCTGCTTTAAGACTCAAAAAAGCTCTTTTCCGCAACAAGCAGACTGTCAAATTACAGCAGGGAGGTTGGAGAGATCTGGGGGAGATGAGAGATCAACCAAAGGACTTGTATACATGCATATAAGTACAACCAATGGACACAAAACTCTGGGGAGGGAGGGTATGTTCGGGAGGGGGGGGCATTGGTATATGTACAAAAATAATTAAAAAATATATTATAAAAAAATGTGATTGTCAACTTAAAAAAAAAAAAAGCTCTTTTCCATTTTCCAAGACTACATACAGCATAGCTCATTAACATCTGTTTCTCTCTTTTTTTTCTTTTTAATTCTCCCCTGTGTTATGTTTTACTGGTTCTATTGAGATGGGAGGGTGGGGGAAGAGAGACATCCATTTGTGAGAGAAACATGGATCGGTTGCCTCCTGAATGCCCCCTCATCCAGGATTGAACCACAACCTAGGTATGTGCCCTGTCATGGAATCGAACCAGAAGCCTTTCTATGTACTGGTTGACATCCAACCAACCGTCATCCCTCTGTTTATGACTATCTTTATGTCTAAATTGCCCCTTTAAAAATTTTTTTTAATTGATTTTTAGAGAGAGAATATCCATTTTTTTTTGTTCCACTTATTAATGCATTCATTGGTTGATTCTTGTATGTGTCCTGACCAAGAATCAAACCAGTGACCTCTTGGTGCATAGAATGTCACTCAGCCAGCTAAGCCATACTGACCAGGGCCAAATTACCCCTTTTTTTAAGAACACCAGTCATGTTGGGTTAGGGCCCACTCTAAGGACTTCATTAACTTGATTATCTTCAAAGACACTATTTCCAAATAAGGTCACATCATAGGTGCTGGGATTAGGACTTCAACATCTTTTGGGGGTACAAAATTCAACCTATAACATCTGAAATCATTGATTTATTTACATTTGTCAAATTCTCTAGAATATAAGCTATGAGAACAGTTCACAAATTATCCTCCCAGACCTAGCAGAGTGAGTGGTACATAGTAGGTCCTCAATAAATATTTGTTGAGTTGATGACTTGGGTTATGTTGTTCAGTATTCACAATCCCTTGGGCACTATACATACTGACTGTCATATATTCTCCAAGCTACAGGGCACACAGAGTTTACTATGTGCCAGGCCTTGCTCTTTGTACCTCATATTCGATCATGTAATCATCACACTACCCTATGTGACATACACTATTATGCTCACTTCAGAAACAAGAAAACAAGACACAGAGTAGTTGAACAGCTTGCTCAAGATCAGTGTTGGTGAATGATACAGATAGGTTTGAACTCAGTCTGACTTTCAACCTCAGTTGTAATCTCTATGCACCCTACCATAGGAGCCCCTTACATCTCTATGCCTTTGTGAGATGGTATTAGTGGCAGCTAAGCAGGAAGAAATGTAGGGCTACGAACCCATCACAGCAGGCCTCCCCTAGAGGAAGTCTCATGCTGAAAGATCCAAGAGGAAAAAGGTTATCTAGTTAGCAATATCAGGAGAAAATAAATCTAGTTCCTATAATACATCTAATTATAAGAGGATCACCTACATTCAAAATAATAAAGTCATTTCTAGAAGTGAGAACAACTTTCTAAGAAATATAAGGCACTAATCCCCTGGCTGGTTTGGCTCAGTGGATAGAGCATTGGCCTGTGGACTGAAGGGTCCGGGGTTTGATTACAGTTCAGGGCACATGCCTGGGTTGTGGGCTCAATCCCCATTTCCTAACCTGTAAGCATCATGGAAAATTATTCAATATGTACTGCTAAATTTTAAAAGCTGGGTACAAAATTTGTATATATAATAAATTATAAATACAACTGTGTTAAAATACATAGGAAAAACATTTTAATGGAAAACAAAAGTTATAGTGTGATGAGACTGGATAATGTCATGATATTATCCCCCTAACTTCCTGTATTGTTAATATTATATTTCTATAAAAGTTTAATTTTCCTATTGTATTAAAAAAATCTAATAATACAAAGTGTGAAGTCAAGTCTCTGTCCAATGTCCAGTGAAAAACACTGCTTGAGCATATCAAATATAATGTATATCATACACCATATATAGTGTGCTATGGTGTATGTTATGTACAAATGGAATCATATCACGTATCTGCCTATAACTTCTTATTTCAATTGACATTCATCTCTTGCCTCAATTCCTGCAAAAACCTAGTAACTGGTTTTCCTGCTTCCACCCTTGCCCTTCTTCAGACTACTGGCAAAGTAGTCAACTGAATCAAGTAAAAAACAAGTTTAATTCATTCTTTTTAATAGTTGCATAGTATTCTGCTAATGAATAATAGCATAATTTATAAAGCAATCCCCTATGATACTAATTTATACTCCCAGCCAACAGTATTCTAGAGTTCCTCAAATGCTCATCAACAGTGGTTATTATTAACTAGTTCAGCCTTTACCAATCTCATAAATGAGGAATGCCTCCCTGAAGTTTAATTTGAATTGACTTAATTACAAGTGAAATGAAACATCTTTATTTCTTTTTTGTGTGTCATTCAACAACACCATCTTTATTTAAAAATATAAATATCTATGAAACATTTCAGAATATGCTGCTGCCAACAAAGATAGCCTATACTTCTAAATAAAGTCCTAAATTAATATACACATTTAAGCTTTAAAAATATAAGAATAAAAGGGGGTGAGAAGACTCTCTGAGGAGTATGAGCTAAAGAAAAGGTCCTTTGAAAGTCTATGGATGCCCTAAGTAAAGTCTTTTTATTTCTTTATCAACCATTTGTTTTTGTGATCTGCTTTTTCATATGCTTTGCCCATTTCATACTGGCTTATTGTTGTTTTTATTGATTGTATAGAATTATGCATATAAAGGAAATTTGCCTTCTATTTTATGAGCTGCAACTTTTTCCACATTTTTCTTTTGTAATTTTTTTTCCAGTTATAAAAGTTTTCATTTCTAAGGAGTAACATCAAATATTCCCCCTTTTTTTAGCTTCTGATTTTTATGTCCTGCTTAGACCTCCTCCACTCCAAGATTATTAAAAATATTCAACATGCTTTCATCTAGTACTTTCAATCATATATTTTTTATGCTTAAATTTGTGAATAACTACAAACCTCTTTTGGTGTAAGTAGTACAGTAGGAGATTAAGCTTATTACTATCTACAAGGCTCTTAGGCCCCACTCATCACTTATTAAGTAGATCATTTCCTCACTGATTTGAAAGACTAGCTTTATCTCATACTATTGTATACTTGGTCTATTTTTAACTCTATTCTGTTTCATTGATCTCTCTATTTCTGCATAAAGAAAAAAATGTTTTAGTTTTTTATTTTATAATATATATGTTTCAATATCTGAAGTGCTCGATTTTCTCTAATTAATAATTAAAATTTTGTAATATAAAACAAAATTTACCTCCCCTCCAAGTGTAGACACGCTCCCTGGGGCGTTTGAAAGAAAGCACAGCTCTCCCAAGGAGAAACTGGTCCTGCAGCCCTAGCTGGTTTTGCTCAGTGGATAGAGCATCCGCCTGCAACTGAAGGGTCCCAGGTTCTATTCTGGTCAGGAGCATATGCTCCGGTTGTGGGCTCCAAACCCAGAAGGGGTCAGCAGGAGGCAGCTGATTGATGATTCTCATCATTGTTGTTTCTGTCTTTCTCTCCATCTCCCTTCCTCTCTGAAATCAATTTAAAAATAAATAGTAAAAAAACAAATAAATAAAAATAAATAAAGCTGATACTGCAGAAAGAACTAAAGTGGCTCCGCTCAGAAGTGACAAATCTAAAGAAAAGTCACTGAATTAGAGATGGCAGAGACTCCTCCATCTCCCCCTACTCGGTCCTTCCACCCCCAGGCAAGCTACGCTCACCCACCGGCGCCGGCTGCGTTTCCCAGCTCAGCCTCTAGGGGCCGCAGCCCGGCCCGAAAGCGGGTGCACCTGGAACCACCTACTGGCTCCGCCCGCAGCTGCCGCCTTCGTGGCGTCACTTCCGGTCCTGGCGGAAGTCCTCCCCCGGCTCACCGGGAAGTAGCTGAAGACTGGATGATGGCAGTTCTGGGGGCCTCCCTCCAGGGCAGCCCGGAGGCCGTGGTGCCCCCGCGGTAGACCGGAGCAGGGTGGCGGGCTCCGGACTCCGAGGTGAAGAGCGTCGAGGGCTGAGCCGCGACCCTAGAAAGGAGCCTGGGCCCCCTGACGGTGCCGGTCGCCTCCCCTCCCTGGCTGGCTGTACACTGTTTATGCCGGGGCTGGCCCGGAAGCAGGTCCACCTGCTATCGTACCGTCCCTAGAGAGAACGGCGCGGGCGGGATTTCCCCTTCAGTAGCCCCAAACTGGGGGTTCAAGGGCGCCGCTTCTCCCTAATATCGCCTCCTCTCCATCGCCGCAGGGATGGAGGGATCTAAGACGTCCAGCAGCACCATGCAGGTGAGCTTCGTGTGCCAGCGCTGCAGCCAGCCCCTAAAACTGGACACGAGCTTCAAGATCCTGGACCGTGTCACCATCCAGGAGCTCACAGGTCAGCGAGACCCTTGCAAAGAGGGGGGTCAACATCGTTGAAAGTGGGCAGCTTTGGAGATGTAGGTCTTAAGATGTCTCTATCCGTTTAGTCTATCCGTGTAGTCTGCCGCAGGCTCCCGTGTAAACCTAGGAAAGTCACTTAATCTCTCTGGCTCCCTGTTTTCTTATCCGGAACATAAAGGCCTTCCGACTGAGTGCGCCTTCGAGAGCTTTCTATAGCAAGGAAACATCCTTAGTTTTCTTACTCCTACTCTTTCAGAGGAAAGGAATGTGTATATGTAATAATGAAGGGCATATTTTGAGGACTTACCATGTACCAACTGCATTACATGCATTACTTAGTTCAGTTCCTGCAACAACCCTTAGGGATCATTTTACAAATGAGTTGAGGCTCTGAAAATTTAAGTGGCTTACCCAGCGTTTAACAGCTAGTCAATGGAGGAACGATTCTAATAGGCCCAGGAAGTGAGATGCAGTTTTTAAAAGAGAAAATTGAATAAAGTGAAAGTAAGCTTAAGGAGCCTGGCCTGTGTGACGCTCTACGGTTGAGCGTCAAGAGGTCTTGGCATTCGATTCCAGTCAGATGATGTCCCTCTCCCGTCAGTGTTTCTATCGTTCTATCTCCCTTACTGTCTCTAAAAGTCAGTTAAAATAAAAATAAAAAAACATTAAAAAAATAAGCTCAAGGATCTGGAGTCACCCTGCTTGGATTTAAATCCTGGCTGTCTTTTAATAGTTGGATGACTTTTTGCAAGTTACATCACCTCTCTAGGCCCGGGTTTCTTTATCAGGAAAACATAAAACAATCTCTTGGGAGGCTGATACACACATTGAGCTGAGTATTCCTCTAATTGTCACTATACCTCCCTAGAATAAACTGCCTTTTGATGACCGGGACGAATTGAGTGAAATCGGAACGGACAGACAGTTTAAAAACAAAACAAAAAATAAAACATTCTCAAGGTTATTTTAAGAATCATCAGGGGGCAGCTCCTGCATTGAGCGTCTGCCCCTGGTGGTCAGTGCGCAGCATAGTGACCTATCATTCTGTTCAGTTGATTTGCATATTAGAGTTTTAATATATAGGACTAGAGGCCTGGTGCATGAAATTCATGCACAAGTCGGGTCCCTAAGCCTGGCCAGTGATCAGGGCTAATCAGGTTCCCCGCTGCCTCCTTTCCTCCCCACCCACCCCCAGTTCCCTATTCAGGGGGAAAGAAAAGGAGAGGGAGGTAGGAGGTTGGCTGGCTCACGTCAAGGAAGCCAGCCTTTGGCCCCCCTGGGAAAGGGGCCCCATCCACTGCCACCCAACCCCAGCTCCCTGTTCCAGCCTGGGGAGGTACCGGAGGGGTTGGCCCACAGGCCCCATGGGCAGTGTGGGCCTGGGGGAAGCTCCTGCATTGAGTGTGTGCCCCCAGGTGGTCAGTGCACGTCATAGCAACTGGTTGTACCAGCCATTCTGTCATAATAATCACTTAGGATTTTATGTATATAGATGATTTTTTTTTTTTTTTTTTTTTTTTTTAGGGGGAGAATATTTTCCCATCGATTTTCAGAGAATGGAAGGGGAAAAGAGGGGAGAGAGAGAGAGAAACATCGATGTAAGAGAGACACATCAATTGGTTGCCTCCTGCTCACACCCCCACTGGGGCAGGGGATCAAGCCTGCAACCAAGTGCATGCCCTTGACCAACCCTTCAGTCTGTGGGCTGGTGCTCTAACCATTGAGCACCAGCCAGGGTCCATATTATTTTGAAGTAAATCCCAAAGATAAGTACAGTTGATATTTTGTAACTATTTTTGAAAGATAAGGCATCTTTAAAAACATAACCATGATATCACTAGTAGTCCGGTGAACGGATTCATGCACATTGGGAGGAAATTAATTAGAAGAAATCTTTTAATGTCGTTATTCGCCCTTTCTCTATAATAGAAGTATCAACCAAATTCACCATCAACAATGACAGACCAAAACACACATCTGCTATTGGCACCAGCAAGAGCTTTATATTCTATCACGAGTCACCTTAGCCTTTTATAGATATAGAATAAACTTGCTTAATTAGACTTGCTTTCTGATGTAGCTAAACTTTTCCCAGTCCAGTGAAGCACCCCAACTTCTCTTTTAGGTAATTGCCAGCAACACAGCAGTAAATATCAGCCAAAGCAGATTATTATTGTAGATCACAGGGAGAACAAAGAGCAAAAGATTTAACTACAGCCATGTTTGACTATATTCTGTGCAGTGAAAAAACAATGGCAGCACTAAGGACCGAGCCTTTTCAGACAGGTCAAGTTTCTAAGATTTCTGAATCACTGTTTTCCGGTTAATGAAAAGAAAATAGGATTCCACCAAATCTCCTATCTACCTATTCCAGGACTCCTGTGAGGGTAAAATGAGATGAGGCACGGGAAAACTCTACACAACATTTGGTTAAAGTGTGAAATGTTTGTACTAGCTATGAAGAAACTGCAAGGAGGCTAGTTGTCACTGGGAAGAGGAAGCCAGGTGTTGCTACTTATCATTACCTGGACAAGAGAAGGATACTTAGCATATTAGCCTTTTATATATATATATATATATATATATATATATATATATATATATATATATATATATAGATTATTCTGGAAAAAATTTAACTCCTTAATCTCATTTAATAGGGGTAAAGATTCTTCTTTGTGTAAATGATACTTTAAGAAAAAGGTATAGGTGGGGGTGGTTATGAGTATAATTCCAATTCTTTTTCTATACTTTTTTGTTATCATTAATTCTCACCCAAGGATATTTTTTTCCAATTGATTTCCAGAGAGAGTGGAAGGCAGGGAGGGAGACAGAGAAACATCAATGTGAGAGAGATAATCGATTGGTTGCCTCCTGAGACTGGGGATAGGATCTGCAACCCAGTTTCATGCCCTTGATGTGCGTGCTGATGCTCTAACCACTGGCGTGCCAGCCAGGGCTTTTTTTCTATGCTTTTATACCCACTCCTTTGATAAGATTCTTTCTGACTCAGTATTTTCTTTGCCCTTAGCTCCATTACTTGCCACAGCCCAGGTGAAATCAGGAGAGACCCAGGAGGAAGAGGGTAACTCAGGAGAGGTAGGAAACACTGGAATGCAAACCGGTTTCTGCAGGGTACTTGTTGCTTCTAGAGCCCACAGACTTTTGGGATCTGTGGTTAACCAGGCATTCTACATGATCAAGCCACTGTGGATCATTGTACTGAGGTTACAGGGTTACTGAAAGAGTCATCCATTTAAAAACATGGAGAGAGGTTCTTCTTTATTTTATGCAGAATTATAAGCCATTACAGGTGAGAGATGGGATGACCTATATATCCAAAGTCATCTCAGGGCATCCTGGTTTACATCTGTTGTCTTAGCTAATTATTAATATCCACTCCTCTCCATTCTCAAAAGTATCTTGGTTTGGGCAACCAATTATATGATTACCGTAGTCATGGGGGCATTGTCATTAGAGAACATGTCTTTTCTTTTGAGAACATGTCATTTTTAAACTGTGATCACTTCAGTGATCATTTTCATTGCCAAAGACAGATATAAGTTTTTTATCACATTTAAATTACATCAATGTATTTAAAACATATAAATTACCTACTTTTTTCTCTGCTATGCCAAACTTCACTGTAGTCTGATCTGGCTTTTTCCTTGTGCCATGATATTTAGGGTATCTCACCCTTAGCCCTGACTAGTAAGTGTTGAGAAAATGCATATTTATTTATTTTTTTATTATTTTTTTAAAATACATTTTATTGATTTTTTTACAGAGAGGGATAGAGAGCTAGAGACATCGATAAGAGAGAGTCATCGACCAGCTGCCTCCTGCACACCCCCTACTGAGGATGTGCCCACAACCAATGTACATGCCCTTGACCGGAATCAAACCTGGGACCTTCAGTCCGCAGACCGATGCTCTATCCACTGAGCCAAACTTATTTCGGGGAGGAAATGCATATTTAATTATAATTGAATATAACATAGGGAATGCCATTCCCCATAAAAATATCAAATGGGACTTGGGGTGTTTCTTAGTATTTAAGGATTGGTTAGGTAATACCCAGTTAAGTCTCTGGTTTATTGTCTTGTGGTTGTAGATCAAGGGTAAAGCCAAATAGTTCTAAGCTGCCAAAATGCTAATTTCCTCTTATTTCGTTCCCAGGAGCCATTTATTGAAACTCGTCAAGATGGTGTCTCTCGCAGATTCATCCCCCCAGCCAGGTGCCTACTACTCTTCAGCCCCCTGCTCCTTGCCAAAGACTAGGAGAATTTTAATTTAACCCACAATTGAGGCCTGGAGCCAGGTGATAGAGATGTATTATCACCCAGCCTTTTGGCTCCTCCAAAAAAGATGCATTCCCTTATACTTGGCCCATCACCTTCCAATACTAATTAGTTTTTCCTGTAGCCATTTACACGTGGAAAGAGACAATAGCTCTCATGATAAAGAAGTGAGAAAAGTCAATAATAAATGAGATGGGCTCTTAAAAAGTTTAAGATTAGCTGATGTTAGATATTCAGGTTCTTAATTGTTGATGCATGTGAAGGTGGCTGTTGAGGGGAGTAATATTAAAAATCGGTCTTTCCAGATTCTCCTTCCTTTTCTATTATAGACACATACACATATCAGTTTTTAATGCCCCCTCTCCCTCCTTAGTCTGTCCAGCCAACCTTCATGCTGAGTGCCCCTGTGGAAGACCAGCATGGCCTTCCCTTGGGAGAGAGGTACCCTTGGGAGGTCAGTCGGGCTAGGAGTGGGTATGCACCTTGAGGCCCCTCAGCTGATGCTTGAGAGTCTCTGCCACTGGCACCGCAGTAGGTGGAGGAGGCCTCTCTGCTCCCTCATGTGCCCATGGGCGGGGGGCTGTCTGCAGGATGATGTCTACAGAAAGTGCCAACAGCTTCACTCTGATTGGGGAGGCATCTGATGGCGGAACCATGGAGAACCTCAGCCGAAGACTGAAGGCAAGTAGGCTTCCTTCTAGCATCAGGCAGCGGGCATGGCTGGTTGAGGGGGTTGTGTGGGCAGGTAGCATGGGGCAGGCCCTACCCTGACTCTCCCATACTTCCAGGTCACTGGGGACCTTTTTGACATCATGTCAGGCCAAACAGATGTGGATCACCCATTGTGTGAGGAATGCACAGATACTCTTTTAGACCAGCTGGACACTCAGCTCAACGTCACTGAAAATGAGTGTCAGAACTACAAGTGAGTGCCTCCAAGGCAAGGGCCTGGAAACTGACATCTGGGTCTCAGAGCCGACACTGCTCCAAGACTGCCTAGTTCTTACCCAAGAGCTATGCTCAGCTCAGGTAAACAGAATAACAGGTTCCTTCTGCAAGCATACTCTGTCCTTGGCAGGCGCTGTTTGGAGATCTTAGAGCAAATGAATGAGGATGACAGTGAACAGCTACAGGTGGAGCTAAAGGAGCTGGCATTAGAGGAGGAGAGGCTGATCCAGGAGCTGGAAGATGTGGAAAAGAACCGTAAATTAGTGGCAGAAAATCTCGAAAAGGTCCAGGCTGAAGCTGAGAGACTGGATCAGGAGGAGGCTCAGTAAGTGATCACCCTGTTCTTCTAATTTCCCGCCCTGAAAGCTCCAGGAGGGGAAATGGTTTCCAGCTGAATGTGTCTGATTAGTTTATAAGCTGCATTCAGCTGTCATTCTGCAGCCTGTCTGCTCTGGATCCTGCATATTGTTGCCAGGTCCTGTTTCTAGAGATTTGTATGAAGAGTTATGTATGTAGGGTCAGCATGACTAAGTAAAAAAAGCATGTTGATTAAATAGAGAGTGGAGAGCAAGGGCTGTAGTCACAGCTCTGTGCTGTAGGGAATGGGGATCATCTGCACCCGGCATTCTGCTCAGGAGCATATTGGCCCACATTCATTCCTTCTCAGCTCAAAAATTTCATTGGTGCTCTCATCCTGTGAGAACCCTCTGTCTATTGAAGGAGACATAGTGTCCACATTAACTGAAACAGGGGAAGTGAAGGACAGAACAAAAAGTTAATTTTTCACAGAGCAGTGTAACAAGTTTCATTGGAAATGGGGTTTACTGTTTAAAGGACAATAAGAATGTAGAGGTGAAGTTATATGAGTTCAATTATGGCCAAGCCATGAAGAAGCCAGTTTTGACATATTTCACCTTGATTCTGGAAAAGGTCAGACATCCAAGAGGTGTTAGGCCTGGTTTGGAAGAGTCCTTTCTTCCTCCCCTTTTTGCATTTGGGCAGCTGGAATTGGAGACATTCCTGTCCCTCCCAGGCAAGACAGCTGGGGCAGGTATGTTCCTTTGAGTGGGATCTGTGACAAATCTAAATGATGCTGTAACTAGATGTAACCATAATCACAAAAAGAAATCCTTAAGGAGGGTGATAACAGAGAAATTTTAGTCCCCAAACTAACAGCCTTCAATGGCCACTTTGGCTGCTCACAGGTATCAGAGGGAATACAGTGAGTTTAAACGACAACAGCTGGAACTGGATGATGAGCTGAAAAGTGTAGAAAACCAGATGCGTTATGCCCAGGTGCAGCTGGACAAGCTGAAGAAAACCAACGTCTTTAATGCAACCTTCCACATTTGGTAATGGGGGCTGGAGGGTGAGGAGTGTCTGGAAAGCATGTGTATCTGGATTTTAGCTGTTGGCTTCTAAGCTGTTGGCCTCTAAGCCAGGGTGCCCACCTCCCACAAAATAGGGCTGTATATAATTTTTATCCCATCTAGGTTTTTTTTCATTCCTTGTAATGGGGTAGGCATGATCAGGGGATTGGAATTCTAGAGCTTGTGCCATCCACTCTTCCAAGGAAAGGGACAGATCTGAGCCCTCCAGCCACATGAAATTCTGGTCCTCAGCCTAGAGCTGATTTCTTACCTTTAGGGTCATTCGTGTATTAATTTACTTGATGTTTTATCCATTTAAGTAGTATCTATTGAGCATCTACTGTGTGGTAGGCACTATTCTAAGCACTAGGATGGCAACAGCAAACAATATGCATTCTACCTTCTAGTTGTTTATAATCTAGTGGAAGAGATGAATAAGTAATAGGCACTTGTAATACAGATTGATAATGGTTAACCTAGGGTGCTGTGGGAACACATAAGGGCACTTTACCCAAAGTGAGCAGGCCACGTGGAAAGTTTCCCTCAGAGGAGGTTGATTTTTAAGCTGAGATGTGAATAGAAGTCTGCAGAGGAGGGGGTTGTTCCTGTCAGAGAGAACATCATGTGCAAAGAAATAGGAAAGTGGGAGTGGTGAATTCAGAGAACTGAAAGGAGTTTATTGTGACTAGAGAGTAAAGGGGAGAATGGCAGGATATGAAACTGGAGAGTTACCAGTTCCTAAAGTACCTTGTAGGTATCATGAAGGGATTTGGACTTTATCCAAAGGAAGTGGTAGCCCAGCTGGTGTAGCTCAGTGGTTGAGCATCAACCTTGAATCAGGAGGTCACGGTTCGATTTCTGGTCAGATCACATACCTGAGTTGCAGGAGGTGTGCAGAAGCCAGCCGATCATAATTCTCTCTCATCATTGATGTTTCTGTCTGTCTCTCCCTCACCCTTCCTCTCTGAAATCAATAAAATATATATATATTAAAAAAAAAAAAAAAAAAAAGGCAGTGGGAGCCATTGCAGCATTTGAGGCAGGCAAGTGACATAATTACATTTGCATTTGTGATAACTTTACCTGCAATATGAGAAATGACTTGAAGAGGGTACTATTTTTGATAAGGAAACTTGTTAGTAGGAATCTAAATAGAAAAAGAAAGTAATGGAAAAAAAGAAAAAAAAAAGAAAAAGAAAGTAATGGCATTGAGTTTGGAGAGAAGTGGGCAGATTGAAGAGATTTAAGAAGTAAAATCAACAGTTTGATGCTTTCTTAAAGGGAGAGAGCTGAGAGAGCGTTCAAGGATAATGCCCCAATTTCTGCTTTGGCATCTGAGCAGCAGGTGGAAAGACGACTCACATTTTATTTTATTATTTTTTAAAATATATTTTATTTTTTACAAAGAGGAAGGGAGAGGAATAGAGAGCAAGAAACATTGATGAGAGAAAAACATCGACCAGCTGCCTCCTGCACATCCCCTAGTGGGTATGTGCCCGCAACCAAGGTACATGCCCTTGACCGGAATCGAACCTGGGACCATTCAGTCCGCAGGCTGATGCTTTATCCATTGAGCCAAACCGGTTTCAGCAGCATTTTAGACATGTATTTAAAGTACCAAGAAGAACTTGGCTATATGAATCTGAAGATGAGAAAGGAGATTTATGTTAGGTTTTAGGTAAGAGCAGGAAGTCTTAGAAGTTGCTAAGTTTTAAGTTCTCCCTGTATTTTTCCCTGTCCTTTTGCTTTCTTCTATAGGCATAGTGGACAGTTTGGCACAATTAATAACTTCAGGCTGGGTCGCCTGCCCAGTGTTCCTGTGGAATGGAATGAGATTAATGCTGCTTGGGGCCAGACAGTGTTGCTGCTCCATGCCCTGGCCAATAAGATGGGTCTGAAATTCCAGAGGTAAGATATGTAGCCCTTTCTTAGGGTACGGTATGTCTTTGATATTTTTATCTCCACACTGGTACTGCTGTCCGCTATGGCAGGAAACTACTCCCAATAGTCTGGGAGTTTTCTGTGTCTGGTTTTCCGCTCACCATAAGGATCAAGCTGCAGCGGTCCCCAACCCACCAGGATCTCCAGAACTTTATTGTTCCTCAAGCTATTTTCAGTTTTGTTTTTTTGGGGTTTTTGTTTTTAAATCTAAACCAAAACATATGTTCATTCACGAAGGGGCCCCCCCCCCCGATGATTATATATATAATTTGTTCAGTAAGCAAAATCTTAAACATGGAACCTATAGGGAGGTAAGAGAGAGGGTGGAAATAATAAAACAGGTAGGAAAAAGTCTGAAAATCATTGGATTCTAACATCCCAATAATCACTTTTGGAGGAACCCTCTATCCATCTCTGTATGCATCTCCTTTTTAGGTATCGGCTTGTCCCCTATGGAAACCATTCGTACCTGGAGTCTCTGACAGACAAATCTAAGGTACTCTGGGAAGCTCCATTTCCACTGGAATACAGAATTTTTATACCTCCTAAAAAAACACAAAAGTTTATTCTCCATAATGACATTATCCAGTTTCCTTCCTATACATATATCTCATGAAGAGCTAATGTCTTGTCCAGTTCAGGATTAGCTCTTTGAGGCCTAGAGAGAAAATGAGCTTTTTTTACAGTCTGTTGAGAAGGGGTATGGGCAGATCAGAGGAGAATGTGTGCTCTAGGGTGGGGAAGGAGTCACCGTGAGGTAGATGTTTAATACATTTCCATTGATGATAAAGAAGTTCTAGGCGCATTGTTATTTTCCCAGGGTTACTGTTCTCAGTGGAACACAGAAAGAACATGATGTGAGAGATTGGTAGGATTGGGAACAACCTCTGATCGCCTGTCCTGGTGCCACACCCATACCAGTTCTCTCTCCTTGGGCAGGAGCTGCCGTTGTACTGTTCTGGGGGGTTGCGGTTTTTCTGGGACAACAAGTTTGATCATGCAATGGTGGCTTTCCTGGACTGTGTGCAGCAGTTCAAAGAAGAGGTTGAGAAAGGCGAGACACGATTTTGTCTTCCTTACAGGTCAGTATCTCCCAATGCTGAGTGGATCTACAGTAGGACCAAATTGAGTAGAATTTGAAGGGATACTAAGAATGGAGGCAAAACATAGTATGAATGATGGGAAAGCAGAAATGGTACCTGACACTGATGGGCAAAGAGTAATCGAAACGCTGCAAGTAGGACAGAATGTGACCCCCTGACTCCTGGAGATAAAGAATGCTGTCTTAGGTAGTTTGGGGGATTTTCTTGCTATGGAGCTCATGTCCAGTCTCCAATTTCAGGAATGTTTTTCCTTAAGGCCCTAGAAATACTCAGGAATGCTCCCTATGGGCAAACTGTGTAGGAGCCCGGTGATCGAGACCTTAGTTCAAGAGAGTAAAGCTGAGCTGCTTCTGTCACCCCAAAACAAAGCGTTTCTTTTCTTCTGCTCCCTTCCCTCCCTTGAGTTTAGGGATGCCTAGGAAAACAGTGAGGAGTACTGTAACCCTCACTTTCCCTCCGCTCCAGGCTTGTCATCTGTTTGGGTGTGTGTCCTGTCCCTGTACTCCAGATGACAATGAGGCTCTTGTGACAGCCTCCTTGACTTTTGGCTTTCAAGTAAATCCAAAATACACTACCATTTCTTGCCAAGTTCTTTCATAGATAAAATGACGTGAATGGTCCCATGATTGAGTCCCTGCCCATTTGCCTGAACTGACTTAAGTCAGATCTCAGTTACTAATGAGCTCTGCTGTGCTCATCTGCAGGATGGATGTGGAAAAAGGCAAGATTGAAGACACAGGCGGCAGCGGCGGCTCCTATTCCATCAAAACCCAGTTTAACTCTGAGGAACAGTGGACAAAAGCTCTCAAGTTCATGCTGACGAATCTTAAGTGGGGTCTTGCTTGGGTGTCCTCACAGTTTTATAATAAATGACTTTCTGTTTTCCTTAGCGGGATGTTTGCCTTAAAGGCTTTAAATTTTGTTTTGTTTGAAAAGTTTTAAGTTAAGTTTGGGTACTATTAAACACACGTTTACAATACCAAGAAAAGAAAAAATCTACAAAAGCCACTTTATTGTAAAATATCACATGGCAAATAGTTCCCAGAGCTACCAGCCTTGTTATAGTTTTAACTTTTAACCACAAGCCTTCCTTTCCCTCTCCCCCTTAAAATAAATAATTTAAATTTGCTTCTGTTTTTGTTTGTAACTGAGTTGAATTGAGATTGATATGTTTTCACTATAATTTATCTCTTTCAACTTCCTGCACTTAACAATATTAAATAGAAACGTTTGTCTCCACTGAGACAATGAGATGTATGAGACGCACAGTTTTGGATAATGTGAGAAAATGACATATAAGTAAGCTTTGGTCACCGTGTGATGTGATCAGAAGCTTGAAATTTAACACTTCTCACTTGGTTCTAGTACTGAATGCCTGTTCTGCTCTGTGTTAGAGATACGAAATGGTGTTTGATACTCCTAAAGACATTATGGAGAGAATTATTTGTAATAAAAGATTTGCTGCAGTCTGATAACTGTCCATGGATTTTTCTTTAAAATAGAGTTAGTTTGTATTCTGGGAGAATTGAGTTCAAGTGAAGGTATGTGGAAATTCTGTAGAAACATGTCTAAAGATGGGTTAGTGTTACTTTTTAAGAAGACTAGTGAAAATAGCTATAAAGAAAACCCTTTTTTAAAAAATATATATCTTAACAGAACAGATATTAAACTTGAAGGAGAAATACAGGCTGCCTCCTTTCTCAGTCAAGGTCACCCAGATGGTCTCAGTTTTTGAGCCCTTGGAAAATACTAATTTCCATGTCTGATATTCTCTCAATGAAAGGAACAGGTTTTTTTTTTTTTTTAAAAAAAATTTAAATATATTTTATTGATTTTTTACAGAGAGGAAGGGAGAGAGATAGAGAGCTAGAAACGTCGATGAGAGAGAAACATCGACCAGCTGCCTCTTGCACACCCCTACCCTGGATGTGCCCGCAACCAACGTACATGCCCCTGACCGGAATCGAACCCAGGACCTTTCAGTCCGCAGACCAATGCTCTACCACTGAGCCAAACCGGTTTCGGCGAAAGGAACAGTTTAAAAAAAGAAAAAAGCCATAAATATATTGTTAAACAAAAATGAACCAACTTCACTAATATTCTCTCTCTCTTAACTTATGTTTTCATTCTAATATGGCAAAAAGGACATGCTTGTCCACCTTAACTCTTTCTCTAATGCAGGAAAATAAGCATCAAGTTGGAATACAAAACACAGTTCAAAAGATACTTGAAACTTTTGTGCCCTAAGAATAAAGTAAACAAAGGGAGGGGTGAGTGCAGTGACGGAAGGCTCTTTCTACTGGGCAGATTCTGTCCATGTGCTGGAGGAAGCAGCAGCCCTCAGAGCTCTGGCTGCCAGGTGGGGAGGAATCGGCTGCTGTCGCCCCGGAGTGTTGGCTCCCACGCTGTGCATCAGGATTGCATAAGAGAATGCAGCAATGCTCTCCAAGGCAATACCCGTGATGCTCTGCAAGTGCCCCACAACCTTCAGAAACAGAGTTTTTTATTACTAAACTATCTCAACATGTTTTAGTACACAAATTGCTTGGGCTGTTCTCTGAAGCCAAATACAAATGTTTTTGTTTCTCGGTATTTACAGAGAAGATTAAATCCAGACCCAGTGTTTGCCAATAGCCAAATTTCATGAGGATGCATTTGCCCTGATGGTGTTAGTGTGGAAAGTTTCTACTAGACATTTCTCTGGGCTGGAGATGAGTGTTGTGAAAGGTGAGAGGGATATCTGGGCCTTGACATTTTCTCTCTTTGGGAGGATATATTTATTAGACTTTAACATGATAACAGGTTATCATCATAAGGAAAACAAGCTGAATTTGGACCTCCATTTCTAATTTTATAAGAGGAAAACTAGAGAACACTTTTAGTCCTAACCTAGTTTTTCCTCTCCCAAATCCTGCTCATTCATCTTAATCCTGCGTCTTGGCACTTACCTTTTATTGTCTTCTGTTTTCCTTTAACTAAATGGGAGAATGCTTTCTATTAAATGAATTCTGACTGTGCTGGTCCTGCTCAGTGATGCATACCTGGCTCCAACATGCGTGGTTTTGGATGAATGCACTTGCTGCAATGATTCCTACTGCCAATAGCATGAAGTCTTCCTTCACTGAAACAAACTTTTCCCTGAGTGATTAAAACCATTATTAATTTTGGAGCTGAAATTTGATCTTCCAAATCTTAGGGTCACACAACTTCAATTGTTGATGTTAATCATCGTGGATTTTTTAGACAAGGAAGGAAATGGTCAACTAATAGTTAATTGACCTTCCCTCAGCCTCCCCCAAATCAACTGGGATTTAAACATGAGCCTCCCGACTGGTTTATAGGCCTTTTGTTGTTCCATCTGTCTCCCTGACAAATGTAATTGTGAGGCTTTTTACTATTCTGACTTTACAGTAATCAAACACTTTTGTCCAAGTTGCAACCTTGTGACTGGCTTTTATTCCCCGAGTGACTATAAAAGCAGTCAGGTAATCTCAAATTATAAACAGCTATAAAGAAAGAACTAGGAAATAATTACTTGAAGTCATTTAAATTTGGAAGTGAAAACATTTAGGGTTTTGCTGATTGGGCTCAGTCATCTGCATCCAGACAATATACCGGACGTTAATTTGAACCAGATAACCTGTGCCGGTTATCTTTGGATTGGGTGCCTCGCCAGGTAAATTCCATTCCCCAAGTTCTCATGCTACATTCTGGACTCTGTTTCTGGAAGGAGCCTATGCTGAAGCGGTTGCCTTACCCTTGTAGCTGACTGGGCGTGGAGTTCTCGATTGAAGCCCTCAGCAGGCTCTCATATATGGGTTCATGCAGAAGATAGACTAGGTCGAGCAGGGTTAGGCAGGTTGCATGCAGCTGAGTGGCTGGGATCAAACAGCCATTGTATCCTAGACGGAGTATGGGCATGGTAAAGGGTCTTTTCTGGTCATAATCACGGTTGTTATGCAACATAAAACTGTTGAGTTGCTAATGTGCTTCCTGGTTGCTTTACTTTACTGTAAGAAACCTCTTCAGTTGGAGGTCAATTTTATTTTTATTTTTTTTAATATATTTTATTGATTTTGTACAGAGAGGAAGGGAGAGAGATAGAGAGTTAGAAACATCGATGAGAGAGAGGCATCGATCAGCTGCCTCTTGCTCACTCCCTACTGGGGATATGCCCGCAACCAAGGTACATGCCCTTGACTGGAATCGAACCTGGGACCTTTCAGTTCCCAAGCCAATGCTCTATCCATTAAGCCAAACCGGTTTCGGCCTGGAGGTCAATTTTAAAGGACAAAGGGAAAGGTAGAGAAATCTCCATATACAATACGAGTATGTTTGTTTGTTCCCCTCTTATCTCATGCCTCTCCATAAACTCCTGCAGTAAGAGAGTACCTCATGAGTCCAAACAAAGCCAGGTGCCGAGACCTAAGTTTCTTTTCCTGACAAGTACCAGAGAGCACTTCCCTCCATCAGCCCAGGCTTCCTGCTGTTCCTCATTGGTGGGTTCTGCCCACTGCTCCCAAACCCTTGGGTACATTCTTATTGCCTCCTAGGGAAGACTCCCACGCACAGTCCCTGGCACACTTCATCAATTACCTAGAACCTCCAGGAGCATCTCCACATATGTCAAGGGAGTAGGCAGGTTGATTTGGAAGTTCAGAGACTTCAAAATATCAAGCTCTGACTCCAGCAGTTCTTCTTTAGTGTGCAGATATCCTAGAGCCTGGAGGAAATTCAGGACTGTAATGTTGCTGATTATCTGGGCCAGGAAAAACGGTGAGGGAGAAGAAAGGGTGTCAGAATAAAGGTCATACATCTTGGCATAGTGTACAGATCCAGCCCATGCCCTCATCTTGCCTTTTCCCTTGGTAATTCCCTATTACACTCAATGCTTGTCATATAGAACTTGCAGCTCTCAAACCCACCAAGCTCCCCAAGCCTCTACAATGCTCTTTCCTGTATCTGGACCTCCTTTCTCCCCCCTTCTCTCTTCCTGCTTTTCTTAACTCCTCTCCCTCTTCCTTTAGGATCCACCCATCTTCCACAACCTCTCCCCCTTCAAGAAGTCATTTTCTCTAAATACACTTCCCTGACTCTCCAAGGCTAATGAGGTACATTCATAGCCCTCTGTACTGACACTAATCAGAACACATTATTTGCTTGTGTGTCTTCTCTCATTGGCTAAGTACCTTGAGGGCACAGACAATATTTTTTGCTGTTGCAGCCATGGCACCTAGTGCAGCATCTGGCCATAGAAGACAATAAATATTTGTTGAGTGAATGATACTTTGTTATATACACATTGGGTAGTAATGTGGGAAAAAATTTTATCCTTTTTAAACATAGTAGTTTACCTTAATGCTGATATGTTGGCAATTCAGACATTTTATGCAAACTGTCCTTGAGTCCAAGGGGAAAAAAGGTGACCTGTATGAACAATGGCCTCTGTCCAGCAATTATACTTTGGAACAGAACTTCAGGCTACTTAATAACTGCCTCTATGTGACTGTGTGTGGTGTGTGTGTGTGTGGGGGAGGGTATGCTTAGGAAGCATAATCACATTCTGGAATTTCCACATGAGTAGTATCACCTAGCCAAGGAGTAGGTTTCTCACAGTCACCTTTGAGTGAGCCGGTTTCTTTCTAACACTCAGGTGCCCATGAGCAACCCCAGCTCCTTACTTTGTAGTGGAAAGACAGTTTGCTTGCCAGCTGAACACATGACACAAGACGCAGGATAAATTTGTTGAAAAGCTGCTCTTTCAGAGCCCTCCAGTTCTGAGGCACTGTCTTATCCCTTAGCTGGATTGTGGCTTGCCTGCAGATATTCTCCGCCTGCTTAACCATAAACCTAAAAAGAAAGGAAGGGGAGAGTAAATAGCCCACACTCAAGCTAAAGGGTGTTTCTGCTTCAAATTATGCTACATCTTATCCTCAAAAAATACCAAATGCCAATACCAATTGCTGGCTAAGAGATTTACATTTGCCCTAGAGGGTGCAAAACCACATCCCATGGTAAGGAGCAACTAGTACTATTTTGGGTGTGTATTGTGTGTGTGTGTGTGTGTGTGTGTGTGTGTGTGTGTGTGTGTGTGTGTGTGTTTTGTTTTGTTTTTTAAGATTTGGATATATTAGTCATTCTGAGAGGTACCATTACAAAGGCCTTATGTTCAGGGCTTTACCTTTCTAGGATTTCTACAGCCTGGTAGCTCACAGATTTCTCCAGACACCATTGTTCAGACAGGAGAAAAACAAACTCTGCCAAAACAGAAAAGAAGAGCCTAATTCACAAGGTGCAACCAAAACCACTCTGTGAACTCTTGGCGTTGTGTAAAAGCCATGATGGGGCCAAGGGAAGGGGGTCGGGAGGTGAGAAAGATGAGACTGAAACAACCCAAGCTGAGATTAGTTCCTTTTGCTGCCAATAGGCAGATCAGAGGCATGAAAAGGAGGCTGACTGAGTGCCAAAGACAAGGGCTTACCAAGCCCCCCTCAGTGACCCTGGAGCCTTCCCGTGGGTCTCAGCTGACAAAAGGCTTAGCCAGCTACACGCAAACACACCAGCTGGTCTAATTGGCCTCTATGCCATGCTGGGAGCCCCCAGCTTCAAGGGTGATTCTTGGATGGACACAAATCCGAACCCTTACATTCTGTCCGCTGTGGAATGTTGACAGGAACAGAAAGGCCCCTCCTGGAGCTACAGTTTTCTTTATAATACTGTTTATTTAGTAACCACCCTCTGGAGCACTCCCATTGCTTTACAAACACGGTTCACCTTACAGCTGGACACCATCTCTCCACCACCGGTGTGTTTGGTAAATCTGCGGCGGCTGAGCCTCTCCCAGGAGCAAGCTTGTTAAGGTGGAGTGGCTTGCTTTGAAGAAATATCCTCCAAATCAGGGAACAGAGCCCAATTTGAGAGGTGGGGAGTCACTGGGAAGGTGGGAAGGGCAAGATACTTTGGCAAGATTTAAGGCTGCCTGTTTCTCTTTGAAAGAACCGCCCCAGATAGAATTTTATTTAGTTTGCAATATCATTAGAGGGCGGAAACAAGGGTAAATGTTAGTTCTCAATAAAGAAAGCTGCAGAACTGGGAACTTTGGGCACTGATCGGTAAAAAAGTACATACAATCAAATTACCATATGTCTTCAGAGAAAATTTAACTTTCTTTGGAGAAAAAACAACAACAACCTATAAAAGTCAAGGTAGCCGGGACCGGTTTGGCTCAGTGGATAGAGCGTCTGCCTGCGGACTGAAAGGTCCCGGGTTCGATTCCGGTCAAGGGCATGTACCTTGGTTGCGGGCACATACCCAGTGGGGGGTGTGCAGGAGGCAGCTGGTCGGTGTTTCTCTCTCATCAATGTTTCTAACTCTCTGTCCCTCTCAATTCCTCTCTGTGTAAAATCAATAAAAAATATATTTAAAAAAAAAAAAAAAGTCAAGGTAGCCCCCCTGGCCAGTTTGGCTCAGTGGATAGAGCTAGGCCTGCGGGCTCAAGGGTCCCGAGTTTAATCCTGGTCGGGGGGCTTATACCTTGGTTGCGGGCACACACCAATGGGGAGTGTGCAGGAGGCAGCTGATTGATGTTTCTCTCTCATCGATGTTTCTAGCTCTCTATCCCTTTCCCTCCCTGTAAAAAAAAAAAAAAAATCAATAAAATATATTTTAAAAATAAATTTAAAAAATAAATAAATAAAAAAGTCAAGGTAGTACAAGGTAATTTAACAATCTACTCAACATACAACAGACATACGTGTATGTACAAAACCTTATCATTACCGAGACTAAAGCTCTGCTACAGTGTCCAATGAAGAGAATTAGTTTAAGCAATTAAGCAAAATACTTTAGAATAATTGTGTTATTAACTGATATTATTTAATGGAGTTGAGGTTTTTCGTGTGTGTGTGTGTGTGTGTGTGTGTGTGTGTGTGTGTAGTTGTTTGGTTTTAGTCTGAGTTATCTGGGAAATTGTTTCTATTTTCCATTTTAATTTGCCAAGAAAACTGAGCTTGGGTTAGGTAGAATGGATGAGGGTTACACCCTCCCTTGCTGCTGGCTCCACCTCCTGCACTTACGAACATACTCAGATCGGCTATTAACTGAAAAACCCGCCCCTTCTATTCTCTTAAGCGAGGGCTTTCTCTAATTTCTCAAAAGCCTGGTTTATGCCTGCTGCTTCCACCTTGTCATTCACTGCCTAAGTTCTGCCATTTGGCTTCTACTTTCCCCAACTTGCTGAAATGGTGGCCTCTGAGGCCAGCAAGTATGTCCAAGTTGTCAAACATCGCGGCCCTTTTGCCACCCTTATTCCTGATGTTCAGATCGGTGAGACATCTGAAACTATTGTCATTCTTCTAGAAACGCTCTTGCTCCCAAGAATCTTTTGGTTCTGTCCCTATCTTCCAAACCGCTCCTTCCTCTTCCTTCATCACTTTGCTTCAGACTCCAATTTCCTGAACACAAAATGTTTCCCAAGGAGCTGTCCTCGGCCTCCTCTTTTCTCCCTCTCGTAGCTCACCCTCTGCCTCTGCAGTCTCATTATGGCCATAACTCCCAAACCTTTCTCTCCGGTTCTGACTTCTCTTACTTTTTAAACCGCCTGCCAGAAACCTTCCTCTACGGGCACCTGAAACTCAGTAGTTCAAAACCAAAGTCATTGTCCTTCCCAAACAAAAGTCACTCTTCCTCCCGTTTGGTGGTGTTGTTTCGTGCATGTGTGTGATTCCCTTAATGGCGGCCCTACGTTCCCAATCTCCTGGGCTCAACTCTGCGGCATAGTCATTCTCGCCTTCTTAAGTTTATCCATTGTGGAACCTTATATTTTACCTCCGAAATGTTTTTAATTCACCCTCCGTTGTCACTCCCTTGGCCCTAAACTATGAGCACAAACTCTACTCTGATCCATCTTTCCCATCACAGCCAAGATATTTTTCCTAAGGCCAAGGTTCCCGTCACATCACCCCATGTTAAGACACTCCCCAGGCCGTCTTGCTTTCCTACCAAGCCAGGTATAGACTCTGCCTTGGCGCTCAAAGTCCCCCGTGGAATGTCTCCAGACTACATTTCTGGTCTTAATTTCAACTCCTTTTCCACCAAAGTCCAGGGTGCTCTGGCCGACCTGGACGACACTGTGCTCACACTTACCCTGACCCCTATTCCCATGGCTTCACTCACACGACCCCTTTACTAACTTAACCAATGAAACATCACCTTTCCTTCAAGGCCTACCTCAATGCCATGGCGCCTGAGGGCTCCTTTCATCCTTCCTACCCCCACTTCCCCCCCTCACTCATTTTAGTTCCCCTAGAAGCTTGGTTTGTTGTTTTTTTTGGTTTTTTTTTTGTTTTTTTTTTAATCTAGTATGTCACTTATTTAACCATACTTATACCTAAGCATTTGCAGATTTGTCCTATTCTCCAAGGATTACATTCATGGTTTGAAAGCAGGGGCTATATTTCATCGACCTATCCCAGGCAGCACGGATAATAAATGTACATTTGGAAATGAAGGGTAAGGTGCTGGTGTGTCTTATTTATCACTGTATCCCCAGCACCTGGCATGCAGCAACTTCTTTGAGTTAATAAACCACACTGAACCTCAAAATTGGTGCCTCAAAGACAGATGCCCCTGTTCCCCCCATCCCGCACCCCCCAAAACAAACAAACAAACAAACAAACAAACAAACAACAGCTCCCGGCCCTGCGTCCACACCCACGATTCGCGTCTCGCGGAAGCTGCCCATCCGGCCCGCAGACTCCTGCACTGCTTGCTCATTCTGCTGGGCCAAGTGGAGCAGAGCGTCCTCGATGGTCTCTGTGGCAACAGCTCCAAACTGAAACTCGCTAACAGGGGCCAATCTTGGCCTCACACGTCCGTCCATTTTCAGAAGTCTTTGTGGACACCCAGACGGCTCCCTGGACCCGTAAACCGATCTCCTTAGCTTCGCTCCAGAGCCTTCTGCCAACCCTGGGCTCGTCCTCCTCTTCTGCGTGCTTGTCCTCGCCTCGAGTCTGAGGAAAACTCAGTTCCCACCGCAGCCTCGAGCCTCCACAGCCTTTTCCCGCCACAACGGCCGGGGACCCCTCAGCCAATCAGAAAACACGTCCGTTTTTACGTGTCCCCTCCACCCACCCTTTCCCTAAGACCTAGAGCCGCACTGCGTTGGTGAAAGAAAACGCGGACTACAACTCCCAGCGTCCCCTGCGGAAGCGAAGGGCTGCTATTCCCAGCAAACCCCGCGCCCCCCGAACTGCGAAGGGCGGAGCGGCAATATGGCGGCGCCGGGAGCTGGTGACCCGCTTAATGCCAAGAGTGGCGAGGCCCCTCTGGCCCAGCGCATTGACCCAACTCGGGAGAAGCTGACTCCTGCGCAGCTGCAGTTCATGCGGCAGGCGCAGCTCGCCCAGTGGCAGAAGACTCTGCCACAGCGGCGGACCCGGAACATCGTGACCGGCCTGAGCATCGGGGCCCTCGTGTTAGCTATTTGTATCCGCCTGGACTGTAGACTCGGGGAGACCGCATGTGGGGGCAAGAGAAGGGGAGCAGTGACGTGTAGGAGGGCAGTAGGGGGCTGGTGGAAAGAGCCTGATCTGTGAAAGTCTAACCGCGGAGCCAAGCGTTTAATTTACCTTACGCTGTCCTTTTTCTTTTTTAAAAAATATATGTATATTTCATTGATATTTTACAGAGAGGAAGGGACAGGATAGAGAGCTAGAAACATCGATGAGAGAGAAACATCGACCAGCTGCTTCCCCCACACCCCCTACCAGGGATGTGCCCGAAACCAAGGTACATGCCCCTGACCGGAATCGAACCTGGGACCTTTCAGTCCGCAGGCCGACGCTCTATCGTCTGAGCCAAACCGGTCTTGGCTACGCTGTCATTTTAAGGTTCTATCTTATTATGACTAATTAAGAATAACGGGTCCGCCCTAGCCAGTTTGGCTCAGCCTGCGGGCAAGGGTCCCGGGTTTAATTCCAGGCAAGGACACATGCCTGGGTTTCGGGCTCTATCCCCAGTAGGAGGTGTGCAGGTGGCAACCAATCAGTGATTCTCATTATTGATGTTCCTATTTCTCCTTTTCCCTTCCTCTCTGAAAAAAAAAAAATAAATAACAGGTCAACCACCAGCTTGGCTCAGTTGTTTAGTGTTGACCTATAAATCAGGAGATAGGGCACATGCCCAGGTTGTGGGCTAGATCCCTAATTGGGGGGCGTGCAGGAGGCAGCCAATCAATGACTCTGGATGCTATTTGTGTCCGCCTGGACTGTAGATTTAGGGAGACCGCCTGTGGGGGCTCTGGATGTTTCTCCCTTTCCCTCCCTCTTTGAAGAATGGGTCAGGGCTTGGAGGAACAAAGGGCTACAGATTTAGGAGGGTGAGAGATTACCTAGGAAAAGGGAATGTGCCTGTTCCAAGTGGTTTCCCTAACCAGCGTCCCCAGATGGTTACACCTTCTACTCAGTGTCCCAGGAGCGGTTCCTAGATGAGCTGGAGGATGAGGCCAAAGCTGCTCGGGCCCGAGCGGCGGAAAGGGCATCAGCTTCCTGATCCAGATGGGCACTGCACTTCTCTAACCTGCTGGATCCCCCTTCACATGACGGATGATGCCCCATGACCTGTAGAAGCTGACGCCTGCTCACAGCTTACTGACCTTGGACAATGATCAGCCCCAAGAAGCCAGGGATTTATACAGTTGGCCATCGTCAAAGGAACGTTGCCCACCTCACACTCATGTTTGTAGTTGAACCCTTCGTATAGTTTGTTTTGGGGTGTGTTTTTTTTTGTTTGTTTGTTTTGCAAATTATCTAACCTTGGCTTTTCCCAAATGTTCTGACTTTGTGGTTTATCCCCTTCACTTCCCAGGGGCCAGGAGGAAGGAGGACAAGAGGTGGGCTGTTGTGGGGAGTGGGCGTGGCAGCTCTGTGCAGGGTGAGAGCCTGGAGGAAAGATGCGGTCAGATTGAGAATAAACTGAGTCGTCTCTCTTGGAGTCAGGTGCATGTGTTGGGGCTGACACTTCATGCTGGAAAGCTCCACGGGCAGTAGCTGCAGCACAGTGGCGTTGCCCCAGGGAGCCGTAAATGTTTAACTAGAATTACTTTTTCCGTGAGATCTTTCCACCTGATTTCAGGGAGAGCTCACGGTGGGTCACTGGGCTGTTTTGAGACCGAACCACATCTTGGGGGAAGGAAGGTCACTCTGTCCTTTACCCTCCAACACCCTCCAACTTGATTGCCTATCCCACCCCTGGAGAGAAAGGTAGATGAAGGGTGAGGGACAAACGGCTTTCATTTTTTTAAACTTCCATTGGGGCCTGCCTGTGCAGGCCTGAGGTGGGATCTAGATGGTGAGGTGGATCATTGACTTGGCAGTTTCCTCATGGACTGCTGGCAGGAAGCCAGCAGGCTAGGCAGCTTCTACCCCTGCCGCCTCTTGTGAGAGGAAAGTCCCTTCTATGTCCTCCCTTTCCAAACCCCGTAGGCCTTTGCCCCCAGTTCTTAAGGCCTGACAGATACAAATTTGGAGTCTGAGTTTTCCAGCATTTTTATTGGCTGCTGCTAATTCTGGTGTCCACTTGCCCGGCTGGGAGTGTGCCCTGTGAAAGCATCTGCGTTTGGGTGGGATTGCTTAGTGGTTGGGTCTTGGCTGGGGAGGTAGCAGGCTGCAGAACTGATTCTCTCTACACACAGCAAATCGTTCTCACATGTTTGGCTTTTCCCTATAATGAAACAGCACGCTCCACGCCCCTTTGTCCTTCTACTCCCTCAGTGCTGAGGTCTTCCTTGAAGAGTTGTACCGATTCGCAGATTCTGACAGCACAAGCTCCATGGTGGGTCCTGGCGTGGGGGAGACAGACACATGGCTTCTATTCTGAATTCACTGGAGGGAAAAGAAAAAGCACTGAAGAAACCTCCAGGGTGGGAGGAGAGTGAAGCTACAGCCAGATACCATTCCCTGGGCTCCCTCCCTTGGGCCCGCCCTCACCATCCTGCCAACATCCCCGGCGAATGTCACCCCCTTGCTTGCCCGCTGCTCCTGGGAGCCGGTGCTGCTGCCACTCAGAGAGTTCCTTCGTATGATGCCTGGGTGTAGGATGGGGAGGGAGAGCACTAAGTGAGGGAAGGGGAGGAGGGGGCTAGTCCCCCCAAACCAAGGGCAGACCCCCAGGGCCTGGAAGAAAGCTGCATCACAAGGGAAGAGGCCTGGAAAGATGGGAATCTGGCAGCTGCAGTCTCACCAGGGCCTGGGGGCTCGGAACGCTGCAGGCTGTTGCGTCGGGAGGTGGGGAAGCTACCCTTGGAGAGGCGGCGCTGGCGGCTGGACAGCATCGCAGCGGGGGCCACGATGCCCGGTGGCGGCTGCTTCCCGAGCCGGCTGTACAAGTCCTCGATTTCTTTTTTCTGTAGTGTCTGTAGAGCCTCCACCTCTGACAAGTGCCTGAGGATGCACCAGGAGCAAGAGGGAGCTAGCCACACACTTGGCTCTCCCAAGTTCACTTCCTGTCCTCCACCCTCCCCAGACTCACTTCTGCCGAAGACACTGCAGCTCAGCCCAGAATTCCTCGTCCTCCCCACTGCTCTCTGAGTCCTCACTGCTCAGACACAGGCTGCTGTAGGAGTAGTTTATCCACACCGGGCTGGGATGGCTCGGGAGTGGGGAGCCGTCCCCCACTTGGGGTTCCTTCCCACTGTCCCTTTCCTCCTCCACTCCAGCTCCCAAGCCCTCGGCTGCACGGTCACTCTCGGCCAGATCCTCCCTGGCCTCTGGCTCGTCTCCAGCATTATCCTCTGTGTCTGAGCTTTCTGAGGTTAGCTGAGGGGTTGGAGGCTTCAGGGGATCGGAGAGAGTTGGGGATGTTGGTGGCAGGGAAAGAGACTCAGCTGGTTCTTTGGATGAAGTCACTTGGAAACGCCCAACAAGCTGGGGCTTTCCCTCTGGAGAAACAAGGAAGGAGTCATGGAAGGAGGGAGAGTAATCAGTGGCAGGATAGAAAATGGACTGAGGATAACGGGCAGGGGAAGATCAGTGGTTGGAGGCCTCACCTTCAGAGATAGGAGCCAGTCTGGCTTCACCCAGGAGAGGCCGAGCAGGATTTGGGGAGGCCTACAAAGTGTGGTCCATGAGGAGAGACATTACCCAGAATCGAGCCCCCTTAATCATCCCCCTTGGTTTCCTACTCACCTCACTCTCCAACTCAGCTGTCAAAGGTGAAGGCCTCTCCTGGCCACAGGGATCAAGGGGAGGGGGAGGGGGTAGGCTCGATAAGGGACCAGGAGGAGCTGGAGGAGACTGGGAAAGGAGCCCTGGCGAGGGGGACAGTAGGGACTGGGCCACAGTCATCACAGCCAGTGAGAAGGCACTAGCCAGAGAGAGGAGAGGGGCTGCTGTGGTGGAGGGGAGAGGAGAAGAGGAGGAGGAGCATGGAGGAAAAGAATGAGGCACAAGAGTGACCTGAGGACAACTAGGAGAGAAGGTAGGTGGAGAACTGGGGAGGAGAGAACCCTGTGGAAACTGAGAGGCTGGGATTGGAAACTGAGATGCACTGGGGGAGAATGGGAGTGGAGAGCTGGGGGGGTGTGGAGAGAGATTTGAAACCTGGGAAGAAATTGGAGAAAATGGGGAGGGGCTGGGATGATATGGGGGAGAAGTGATGGGGAAGATGGGACTTGGGAAAACAGGGGTTCCAGGAGAAAACAGGTCTCCAGGAGACAAGGGGGTTCCAGAAGACGATGGGGAAGTGGAGAAGGCTGCCCAGCCGCTATGCTCCAGGGAGGTGCCACTCGGGAACTCTGATAGAGAGGAGGGTGTGTTGAGATTCCAGTCCTCCATTCCCTGCACCTTTCCCAGGAGCAACCCAAGGTTTGGGGAGAGCAGAGAATGAACTCAGTACATACCACTGGATGGGTTGGGGAGGGGACCTGGGAGAGCAGGCATTGGTGCAGGCTCCTCCTGGGGAGAGAAGGGGCTCACAGTCACAGTGGGGAAGAGCTAGCCTTGGTGTCAGATGAGGGTTCGTGAGCCAGGACTCATGGACTTCTAGGAGTCCATAGAGGGATTTCAGGAATTCAGAAATGTATTTGCTTAAAGATTTAGAGGTAAAGGGCATGATGTCTACAACTTAAGTGATTCAGGAAAAAAATATATACACACAGAGGGGAAAAGAAAAAGCTAATGTGACAAAAACAATTAGCAAATCTAGGCTAAGAGTATCTAGTTCTTTATATAATTCTTGCAACTTCTTTCTGTAAAGTCTGCAATTACTTAAAAATAGTAAGTTAAAAGAAAAGTATGCAGCCGAAACCGGTTTGGCTCAATGGATAGAGCGTCAGTCTGAGGACTGAAAGGTCCCAGGTTCGATTCCGGTCAAGGGCATGTGCATTGGCTGCGGGCACATCCCCAGTGGGGGGCGTGCAAGAGGCAGCTGGTGGATGATTCTCTCTCATCGATGTTTCTAGCTCTCTATCCCTCTCCCTTCCTCTCTGTAAAAAATCAATAAAATATATTTTAAAAAAGAAAAGTATGCATTGAACACATTTTTCTAGAACAAGGCTTTCATCAGAGGCTATGAGCCACTGTTTTAGGTTTCCAGCGATGAAGAAGAGTTAGATTCAAGGCCAAGAGTGAGGCAGAGAGTAATGAAGCCTTGAGCAGAGAATCAGTTTCCCCCCTGGAGGTGCCCAAGGAGTCTGACCTGAGGGCTCAGGGGGTCTTCAGCAGCCTCCACAGGGCCAGTATCTCTCTTCAACAGGGTCTCTACTCGATGGATAATCTCCCGAATCCTGCTCAAGAATCCAGCTCGCTCCGAAGGCAGAATGAACTCATTATAAACCTGGCAAAGATCAGCAGGAAGAGGGGGGGTTCAGTTATCCCACTCATCTCTCTCCCCCTGCCGCATGTGTAAAAGCCAGCCTTTCACCCTACGCTTCTGCCAACCACCAACCTAAAACAAGTACTTAATAAATATCTACTGTGTGTCAAGCACTGTATGATGTTAGCTACTTTTCTCTAGAGTTTAGAGGAAAGCGGCTAACATTCATAGAATGCATGTATATTCCAGAGACTTCATATATCTTATCACATTTAACAACAGTTTTCTGGTTTCTTTATTAACACCCCCATTATAGAGTTAAGATAACCAATGCTCCAAGAGATTAAGTTCAGTCTGCCCAGATTTACTGGATTTGCATCAGATCTGTCCAAACCCCAAATCTGAGTTCTTTCCACTATTGCCTCACATTTTATGTGTGTTTTTTAACCACAAATTTTAAAAATGTTATTTCAAAGAGAGAGAGCAGGTCATTCTACCCCGAGACAACCTGGGGCAGTTGGGATGGTGTCACAGAGCTGAGCCTTGAAAGATGACTAAAAAAGCCCTTTTTTTGAAGACCTACCATGTGTAGATACTTCTCATACATTATATCATATTATATCATTTCCCTCCTCATATGTATCATATCACATTTCATAAAACATTTTTGCAAAATAGGTGTTATCGCCTACATTTTATTGATGAGCAACTGAGGTTCAGAAAGGTTATGAAACTTGCCCAAGATTTTAGTAAATTACAATGAAACTTGAATTCAGGTCTTATGTGGAATCCCACCCTTTCCTCTGTTCCACGCTGCTCGTCAGGAAGAGAGGGGCAGTGTAGGCAGAGAGAACAGCATGAGTAATAGCTCTGAGGCATGAAGAGGCATGGCGCATTCACAAAACAGTGGAGACGTAAGCACAGCTGAAAGTGCTGTGAATTTTAAAGACCATGTTCCCGAACATCAGATTTAATCTCAAGAGGATTCTGCTGCAGAGAAGTAGGGGGTGGCCTGGTAAGGAGAGAAGAGAGAGCAATGGCTGCTGGGTTCAGGGGATGGGGTCTCGTCTCTGTGGCAATGTGGATCTGAGTGGGCTTGAAAACTCAGTAGAGAAGTTTCTCAGGCAAGAGATGAGAGACCCCCTGAGCAGATGGAGGCAAAAGCAGAAAAGCACCCAGATTTTTCCGAGGAGAGCTTAGAAACCAGGGTGACGGGAGGAAAGAGCCTGGAAAGGTCAAGTAGCTTGATGGGAGATGATAAGCTTGCATGCCAAGTGATATTTTGTCTCTGTCCTGGACACAGAGTGGATGACATGCTAGAGGATAAGCTTTTCAGGAGAGAGTGCGGAACCCTGACATTTCTCCCATTCCCTTTCTTCTCTCACCCCAGAGGCTGACAGCCACCACCCTCACTCCACCGAAACTGATTTCCCACAAAGACCTTCTCCTGACAAATGCCAGTGTGATCTTGCCTTAGACTTCACCCTATGCCACCTCCTTGAAACTCCTCACTCAGTTTTAACTAACATCTTTCTGGGCTCCTCCTACTTCTCAAGTTCCACCTCTGTGTCTTTTGATGACCTATCCTTCCTCCCATTCTAGAACTGGGGGTATCCATGGAGACACACTCAGATCTTCTATGCCTCTGGTGTTGCAGGCCCATCTCCCTTCACTCTCAGTTCTACATTGATGACTCCTAATCCACCTCTCTCTCTAGCCCTGCCTGACCCATATCCTGCTTCTATGGAAAATCTTATGTTGCCTGTCTGTTCTTCAATTCATTGTGACCCCTAAAAAAGCCCACTTTCATTCCCAACTTTCCCTCTCCTTTGACGATCTACTTCCAATAGTTCCTCCAAGATACAAGTCACCCTTGACATCCCCACTCCCATAGCCACTCAGCAAATATTTATTGAGCATCTACTATGTGTACTGTAGTATGTCAATAAATTAGAGTAATTTATTTTCCTGAAATGCCTCCTCCCTCCCAGATAACCTATTCTTTCCAGTCCTCAACTAGCTCCTTGTACCCACCTGCCAACTGGATTTCCTACCCGCAACCTGCTCCCATATCCCGTGGCAAATTGGTCTTCTTAAAATCTATTCTCACCATGTTACACTCGATCTAACTCCCAGACCTACACTACATGCCCAACCACACTTCCAGAAGGGCAACTGGAACCCTTAATTCTAGTATCTCTCATACAGCTCTCCCAATGCCATATTCTAAGTCACTATCTGTTTCTATGCCTTTGCTTATGCAACTAAACATGCCTTTTCCACCCTTCACTATTATCCTTATGCATCTGCCAGAGCTTGCGTAGGTTCTACTTCTTCCCCTTCCTGCCCACAGCCCATCCTTTGCTTACAGCCATAATATCACATGTCTGGCATGCACTTCACTGAAGCTCATGTGTATACTCTATGTTAGTCTCAAATTGCTCCAGCTGAGGATCCAAACCTCACTAAGTAAACAAATCTCTCCCAAAACAAGGTGTCTTCAGTGACACTATGCTGAGTGCCATCAAGAGCTTTAAAAACACCTTTGCTATTAGCTGGAGGGAGGGGGAGTTCATCACCAGGGAACATCAGGAGGGAGACTGCGGTCCCAAACCCAAAGACGCAATCCTCATCTTGCTTCCCCCTCACCATGGCAGCCGCAATCTCTTCTGGGCTGTCCCCATCCAGATCAAATCGGAAGGTCACCATCTTGCTGTTGTGTGTCTGTAGCTGGCACTCAACCACTCTGTCATTCTGGTCTGAGACCTTCAGATTTAAATTCAGCAGAAGAGAGGAGGTCAAGCCCTCTGTCCTTATCACAGGTCCCCATCCCACTCCAACCAAGTGATGTGGCTGGATTGGAAATGAAGAGAAGCAGACCCTGATCCCAAAATCTGGTATTAAAAATTGACTGCCACTTGGGTACCAGTCACACACTGCTTCTCCCCTTTTCTGGCTAACCTCCCCCATGTTTCTGAAAGTTCCCTCCTGGCCCTGAAGGTTGTTCCCCATCTTCTCTGCCTTCCTTACACTAGTGACCCGAAGCCGGGATCGGGGTCTTCGCCGGAGATTTCTCCCTAGGGGTCTCCTCATCCGTCCCATCCCTTCACCCATGTCGCTAAGGCCTGATGCTGCATCTGAGGCATAGCTACAAAAAAGAAAGGAGACAGAAGGCGTGTCAAAGTGGACACTGGGACCCCAGAGCTCCATATGTCTCACCCCAACTCATACCGAAACTTACCTGTCTCCAGGGGAAAAGTCACTGCCAGGGCCAGAACGGGGAATAGATAGGGCAAAAGTCTGAAACAGGATATGGATTGTTGAGATCAGAGAAAGATCATTATGGGGATCCAGGGAGACAGTTTCAAGGATATTGAGGTATTAGGGAGATGGGATTAAAGAAGATGAGGATAGGAGTGGTGTATTTCCAGGGCCAGGGGGCGAAGTTATAGGGTTGGGTTTCACACGGAGGGAAATAGGTTATAGGCCTGGAATGGCTGGGAGCCCCCCAAGTGACCCCCTCTCACCGAGGGCAGGCAGAGATGGGACTCAGCGGGGCTGGATGGCACCCCCCTAGGGGCCTGAAGGGCAGGGTCTGAGGCATCCAGGAAGCCGGAGGAGCTGAGGTAGCCATCAGTCTCGCAATCCGCTGGTGGGGGAGGGGATCAAAAAAGGGGAAATAAAGGAGAGTGGTGGCAGAGGAAGGGGCTTGCCTGACAAGGCGGGGCCTGGAGTTGTCCAGAAGGAGCTTCCAGGTCTAGGTGTGGAAGGCAGGGTTAGTGACAGTGCTGCTGGGTTGAACTTCTGGGTGGGAGGCAGAGGCCAAGGGTTCTAGGACCTAGGTCCTCAGATCAGAGGTGACTTACAGGTGGTAGAGGAGTAGCTGGCATGGCGGAAGAGGAACGACTGGTGTTGGTCTGCCTCTGGCTCCTCGGGCTCAGGGGGGAAGGAACTGGGGAGACCAGGAGTCATGGGGACGGTTGCTGGTGGGGGTTCTGGCTCGGGGGGGAGGGCCTCCAGCTCCCTAGCTTTGCGCAGCTTCTCACGCTTTCGCTGGATAGCAGCCACCCGTTCACGTACTGCACGGGCCACTGGCTGGTAATCCGCTTCGCAGACTAAGCCCAGGGCCACCTGGAATAGGAAGGGTAAGGAACACCATTTGGGGATCCCCATCAGAACACTTTCTTGTGACCTCCAGGATATGGGAGTAAGGGAACCAACATTTATTGATTACCAACTATATCTATTAACCGGCAACTCCTTATATTATCAAGGTTAAATCCTCCCCAATAACCTCCTGAGGTAGGTCTTATTTTTAGAAACAAGTGACCAGTTCATGGTTATACAGTAGGTCAGTTGCTCTCACTTGGGGGGACAGGGTTACATTTGGCACTACTTGGAGACTTGCCAGGCCAGCTGGCTCAGTGGCTGAGCATCAACCTAAAATCGTTCACGGTTCGATTCCCATTCAGAGCACATGCCCAGTCAGGAGCGTGCAGGAGGCAGCTGATCAATGATTCTCATTCTCTCTTGTTATTGATGTTTCTATCTCTTCCGCTCCCTTCCTCTCTGAAACCAATATATATATATATATATATATATATTTTTTTTTTAAATATTTAGATATTTGGAGACTTTATAGTTGTCATAACTGGTGGGTGGGGAGGTAGGTGCTACTGGCATCTAGTAAGTAGAAGTCAAGGATTCTTCTCAATGTCTGACAATGCACGAGACAGTCCCCAAAACTAAGATGTCAGTAGTGTCAAGGTCAAGAACTCCTTTAAGTAATGGGTCAGGATTTGATCTCAGGTCAGTGCTCTGAAGACCTGTTCTCAGGCCACATTTCAAACACTTTCTTGAGTTCTTGACCCAGACCCACATGGGTGAGCCCCATCCTTTCAACTTCTATTTTTCTATTGAGAATCTTATACTCTCTTCTGTCCGCCTAGGCCTTCCTAAACCAGCTCCCCATTCTTTTTCCCCACATCTTCTACCTCCCAAGTATACCGCTCCTGGTCTCCTAGTTTCTGTTTATCATCTCGTTATTCATCGCTGGGCACATAAAGGGCAGGGTCTGACTTAAAGGCTGAACAACCTGAGTGTAGACCCAGCTTTGCCACTCTGGCACCTCGGACAAGTTATTCAACCTCTCTGAGCTTTCATTTCCTCATCAACAAACCAAGATAAAATCTTTCCATGTCAGGGTTGTAACCATGATCAAGTGCGTGTGAAAGTGCTCCAAGCTGTGTACACCCAAGGGCTATTAATGAGCGCCTACCACGTGTGAAGCACTGTCAGGGGCAGAAAAATCAACACAACACAATCTCTGCCCTTACAGTCCAGTAGAGGAAAAAGACAGAAATGCATCCTGGGGGAAAACAAGTCCCATGGTGGTGGGTCCTGGAACTGAGGACCTGCGGAAGTGAAGGGATAGGCTTCCTGAAATTGACAGTTCTGAGCCTGGAGGAAGAAAGAGAAATAAAGAAACCTAAAAACAGATAGGGGAAATATGGAGGTGTGGAGAGATATGAAAAAATAAATAAGACGATAAATGGACAGAAAGGCATTCAGGAAACACTGAATCAGCAGGAAAGTTGAAGGACGTTTGTGTGTGTGTGTGTTAAGAAGAATGGAGCAGGAAGACACTGGCAGGAGATGCCTAGAAGAGTGAATTGGGCCCTCGCTGGTTTGGTTCAGTGGATAGAGCGTCTTCAGAGCCTGTGGACTGAAGGGTCCCAGGTTCAATTCTAGTCAAGGGCACATGCCTGGGTTGCAGGCTCTATTCCCAATCGGGGGAGAGGCAGCCGATCAATGATTCTCGTTGCTGTTTCTAACTCTCTCTCTCACCCTTCTTCTCTGAAATCAATAAAAATATATATTTTTTGAAGAGTGGGTTGGACCCCTTTCCCACCACCCCAGGCTTCCCTCGCATCCGGACTGCAGGGCAGTCTGTCCTCCACTCACCATCTCCTGCGCCACCTCCTCAGCAGCATCCCGGCCCAGCTGGAACAGGAACTCGATGGCCTGGTTGTCCCGGGGGCGCCCTCCGCGCCGCGCGTCCTCCATGCGCAGCCAGAGCTTGAGGTCCGGCTTCTCACCGTCGTCCTCCTCCGCTAGCTCCACGTGCACACCACGCTCCTCGCGAAAGAAGGCGTGAGCCAGAAGGTCCTGGATGGTGAACCTGAGAGGGCGCAGCAGCAGTGAGCCGAGCCCCCCAGTTCCCTCTCCCCAGCCCACCTCCCCTCGCCGCAGCCTCCTGTCCCTGAACTCCACCCCACCCCACCTCTCATTCTTATCCGTGCGGATGCAGCCTTCAATGATCTCCTTCACCTCGGGCATCTTCACCTTGTAGAAGCTGTTCGGCTTTGTGCCCTGAAGAAGGGGTTACATTAGCCTCAGGCTCTCTGCGCCCCAGTTCTCGGTTTGACACGTGTCCCCCTCCACACACTTCACTCACACACGCCCCACCTGAGGGAGCAACTGTGCAGTCGCAAAAGCACAGCAACTGCTGCAGGGAGATTGGATTTCGAATCCCAGTCCCCCCACGTATCCATCATGTGACCTTAAACAAGTCTGCCTCGGCCAGTTTTTGGTAAAAGAGCAGGCGGAATATGTGCCCTGCAGCTGGAAGGACCCGATGAGAGGCTGGAAATGGAATCGTTTGTATACTCTGGGGAGCCTGCACACACATCCTTACTCAGCTTGTACTGAGGGTGTGTGTGTGTGTGTGTGTGTGTGTGTGTGTGTGTGTATCCACTGTCCTTCCGTGTAAGCCAGGGCATCTCTGTGTCCAGCCTGCTTTCATTCAGGGAAAGGGCACTGGCCAGGGGCTGGTGGAGACAGGAAAATGGGAGGGGCCCCGGAATGGCCCGCACCCCTCCTCTCACCGAGGTGACCTTGCGGTAGATCTGCGCGGCATTCTGGCACTCGGAGTAGGGGTACTCCGAGGTGGCCATCTCCAGCATGCACATGCCAAAGGCGTACACATCCACGGCCTCGTCGTACTTTTCCTCGTACATCTCGGGGGCCATGAATTCCGGGGTTCCTGCAGGATTCACAGCAGGCATCGGGCTGCAGGCCTACATTCTGGCTTTGTGGCTCCAAGCACACAGGCCAGGCAGCTCTCCAGTCTGGAGCACAAGTTGCAACCCTTCTCCCGTGCCCGCCCCCCCCCCCAAGCTGTGCAGCTGATGCCACAGGTCTCCTCATTTCCCCCATGATTTTCTTACTCTGTGGAGCTGGAAGGACCCAGCTAGGGGGAAGGGAGATCCCAGGCTCTCTTCTGGCGCGAGGGAGGTAGGATGACAAGGACTCCTGGGGGGACTCACCAATGACACTCTTGGCAAAAGAGGCACGCTTGAGGGTGGCCAGGCCCAGGTCCCCGATCTTGACGGAGCCCGTAGGGCCGGTGATAAAGACGTTGTCACACTTGAGGTCTCGGTGCAGGATGGGGGGTACCCGGGAGTGTAGGAAATGAAGGCCCCGCAGGATCTGGCGGCTCCAGCGCTGAAGGACGCGGGGCTTCATCTCGCGGAACCGCCGCAGGTATCTGGGGGGGAGGACGGAGGGCGTGTGGCCAGGGTTGTGGGGGGGAGGGAGCCCTCCCTGGGAGGCTCCCCAGCCTTCCCCCCCACCACTGCCTGCACCTTCTGCCAGCATCCTGCTAGCCTGGGTCTGTCTGCACAGGGACCCAGGGAGAAACTGAGCCAGGGGGTGTGGTAAGTGGACATGAGGTTATAGGGCCGAGGCCAAGGTGCTGAGGAAGCACCGGAAGGGATGACTAACCGCTGCTGCCGGGTGGAAATAACTGTGCTGCCTCTGAAGGATGAATAGGAGTTCAAGGGTGAAAAGGGGAAGGGGTGGAGACTTTCCAGGCAGAGGGGACACCGTGCGCAAAGGCACGGAGACAGCCAGCCACGGAGCAGGGCGGGAGGAGGTGCTGGGATTTGGTTTGTCTGGAATGCAGGCTGAAAATGGGGCTGTGAGTGAGCAGGTTGTGAACTGTGGGCTTTCTCCTGAGAGCTGTGGGAGGCCTTGAAGGGTTTTTAAGAATGGGAGTGATGCCGAAACCGGCTTGGCTCAGTGGATAGAGCCGTTGGCCTGCGGACTGAAAGGTCCCAGGTTCGATTCCGGTCAAGGGCATGTACCTTGGTTGCGGGCACATCCCCAGTTGAGGGTGTGCAGGAGGCAGCTGGTCGATGACTCTCTCTCATTGATGTTTCTAACTCTCTGTCCCTCTCTCTTCCTCTCAGTAAAAAAATCAATTTTAAAAAAAAAAGAATGGAGTGATAAGGTCACTGCAGGAAGATAAGGTAGCTTGGTGAAGAGAGGGACAGAGTGGAGAGAAGTAGGGAGGGGGTGGGTGGGGGGGAGAGGCCCTTTGAGGGGACTGCAGGTCTCCAGACCAGTGAGGGAAGTGGCAGTGAGGTGGGAGTGGAGATGGGAGACAGGAGGAAAACATTAAAGACAGACTGATGGGGGAAGGGATGCACAGGGTGGCCAGAGAGGAGGCACCCACGTTTTGGCTGTAGTGCTGAGTGGGCCTTGCCATTCACCATGGCAGACACAAAGGAGGGGTGGGTGAGAGACAGTGAGCCGGTGCTGGGCCTGGGTGCAGGCATGAGGAGCCTGGGAGACATTCCAGAAGCAGTGGGACCACCCACCACCAGCCCTCCCACCAACCACTGCCACCAGGCCGCAGAGCTCACGTCTTCAGCGTGCCCGACGTCATGAGTTCAGTGACCAGCACGATGCAGACCTGGCCCCTCACCACTGACTTCCATGAGTCATAGAAGCGGACAATGTTGGGGTGCTGGAGCCCCTTGAGCATCTCCACTTCCTCGGAGAACCGCTGCCGCTCTGCTCGAGACAGTTTCCGAGTCTGTGGGGTAGGAGATGGGGGGTTAAAGTCAAATCTGGCCCGGGACCCCCACGGAGAAGGGGTGGGGTGGGACACGGGGGCGGGGCTGGGGAGGAAGGGGAAGGGTTGACGCTGTGGAAGGGGGCTGGGTCGGTGGGATCCGTGGGGAGTGGAATTGCTGGCCTAACGGGCTGCAGACCCCGAATTCCAGGTCCACCCCCTCAAGCTGCTCCAAGGACACGCCCATCCCGGGCCTGGGGCCGCCCCCCTGGACCCCCTGCGGGACACAAGCGACTTTATGCAGTCCGGTCCAGAAACCCTGAGCTCAATAGCGCCTTTGTGGCTGCCCTGGCGGCCCGTGGGGCGGGAGGGGGTGCCCAGGGGCTGGCAGCAGGCGGGCAGCAGGCGGGCAGACGGGCGGGCAGGGAATTGGGGCCAGCAAGGGGGTTAGCTTCAGAAACTGCAAACTGCTAGAAGCAGACGGGAGGTCGGAGGGCTGCGGAAGGAGTACAGTTAAAGGATCAAGGACCAGGTTCCAGGAGACGGCTCCCTACCCCACGGCTGTCCCGCCCCCATCTCATCTCCCTCCTTCACCCCCACCCCACCCCAGTTTGGCCGCCTCTACTAGCCTGGCCTAGAGCCTGGGGCGCGGCACTGGCAGGAGCAAGGGGCAAACCCAGTGCCAGGGCTCTGGGGAGGACCCTTCCCCCAGGCTCTGTTCCCAAAATCCGAAGCTGCTGGCTCAGACTTAAAGTTCAGCGCCTTTGGGTCTGGAAAGGAGAGCCCAGGTAGGCAATGGGATGAGGAACCAGACGGGATTTGGGCCAGAGCTGGAGCTCCTTGTGTCTCGCTAACCCGACTGGGAAGTCCAGAAGGGGCCTGGGAGGACCCCATCCTGCCACAAGAGCTGGAATCTTCTGCAAGTGGAGAGGACCCTGCCCCACCCTCTGGCCTCCATCATCCCAACTTCTTATAAAGATGCAGGGAGAGGGAACTGGAGGGACCAGGGTCACGCTGAGGGTCCCAGGACTTAGGGGAAGGGAGGGACCCCTTCAGGAAAGTCGTTAGGCCAGCCACCTTCTCATACCTCGGCTGGCTCTCTACCCAATTCCCCATCCTACGCTCCACCTCTCAGGGCTGAGCATGGGGGCTTTAAAGTGAAAAAGTCCCAATCCACAGGGGAGCCACTGACACCACCGGCCTCAGTTCCTCTCTGTAGCCCAGAATCAACCCGATCCATGGGTCATCAGAGCCAGTGAGAGAAGGGGTGTCTGGCCATTTGCCTGGAAAAACACATTCCTCCCTCGTTGCTGTCCCCCGGGTCTCCCAACCCAAAACCTCCACAGGGTCCCATCCCGAGGTGCCACCTGGCCGCACCTGCAGCTCACACCAGGCCACCTCCACCGTGGTGTCGGTGTCCAGCCCGCGATACACCGTCTTGAACGAGCCACGTCCAATCTCAATGTCAAACTTGAGGTATCGGCCGTCCGGGGACGTTGCCACAGCCTGGGTCTCTGTGTCCTCCTTCTCCTCCTGCTCCCGCCGCCGGTCCTGGGCCCGGACTTCGGGGGCCCTCAGCGGCTCCCGGGACCCCGGGCTCCCGGGGGCGCACGTGAGCTCGGGGCGCACAGAGTCCGCAGCCTTCGCCGGGGCTCCCCCAGGCCACGCGCCCTCGGGGGGCTCCTCGGAGCCAGGCGGCGGGTTCCTGGCGGGGTCGGGACCAGCAGAGTCCGGGGAACTGGAAGGCTCCGGCACGGGCGAGGTAGCCTGGGACCAAGAGCTCAGTAGCCCCAGGTCGACGGAGCTCCGGCGGCTGGGACGGGAAGAGCGCGGCCGGGGCTCAGCTTTCCCGGAGAAGCGACGCGCCCGGCGAGGCAGGGGCCCGAGGCGGGGCGGCCCGGTGGCGGCGAGAGGGGGCGGCGGCCGCAGGGCCAGGTCGGCCTCCGCCTGGGACATGGGCACCGCGGTCTCGGGGGCCGGGGGTGCCAGCATGAAGGAGGGCTGGGCGCCGCGGGGCGGGGAGCCGGCGGCCGGAGCAGAGGCGGCCGCCCCGGCGGACTGGCTGGGTGCGCAGCGCTCCGCTGAGCTACTGGGGCCCGAGCCCCCGGCTCGCCGCACCGGAGCCCCACCCCCGGCCCCGCCCCTACCCCCCAGGGCCGCCCCCTCCGGGCCGCCAGCGGTGTGGATCCCGGTGCACAGCCCTTCACCCCAGCCTCCGCCCCGCCCCCCGAGCGATCTCCCCCTCTCCCCCCCAGACCCCTCCCCGCCCCGCGCTCCCGCCTTCAGCTCATTCCTGGGAGCCGGGTGCGGGGCCGCGGGGTGTCCTCCCGCACTCAGAGTGCGCAAACCTGTTTGGGGCGGGGAGGGGGGGCATGACGCTGGATAGGGAGAGGAAACGTGACCTCAACTCCCAGGCCCTAGAAAGGGGGGGTGGCTACCACAGGCCTGCACGCCCCAGATAAGGTAGCGCCACCCCTCCTCGCCGTCCAGAGTAGCACTGGGCTGACAATGCAGAGGTCAGTGGAAAGGTCCGGTTTTCTCCGATGCCGCCATCCCTCCGGGCTGCACAGGGATGGGTGTGTGCACCCCAGGACAAGCCCCACCTCCAAACCGAGGACCCGGTCACCCATCCCTTCCACCTCCCTACCTTGACCGCGGCTTGGCCCTGATTAGAGTGGCTGTTTCTGCTATGTGAGCTCTCCTTCCTCCCCCTTCTGTTTGCCAAAGTTTCCAATAAACCAAAGTCCATGTCCGGTTCACCCCCCTCAGGTCTCCTTGGCCTCAACTACCTCACCCAGACCAGATGGGCAGAGGGAGGGGCTTCAGGGGAGTCAGGACTTGCATGGGGGAGGTGAGGAAAGGAAGCTATTACGTTACTCCAGTCCAGACAGAAAGCAGTCTGTCCCGAAGCTGTTCCATCAGCACTCCCCCACAGCCCACCCCGGAGATGTGAAACCACACGCTCACTGGAGCCAGCAACGGAGGATCTTCTCATGTACAAAGGCCATCGGCCTTCTCTCCCCTCTCCCAAGCTGGGATTTGCTACGGGGTTAGCACTTCACAGCCCTCCCCATGCCCCTTCCGTAGTAACATCAGAAGCAGGCGGTGTGGTTGAGCTTTTTAATATCAGAAATCACTGTCCGGCCCCGCCTCTCACTGCCAGATCGCTTCTTGGGCCTCCTATCTTCATATTGCCTGGAAGGCTGCCCGCAGCCAGGGCTTCCACTATCCCAGAGGAAGGATCCAGCACCAGCCTGAGGGGAGGCACTAGCAGCTACAGGGGTGGGAGTGGGGAAAGACAGAGCTTGTACAGGCGTGTGTGTGTGTGTGTGTGTGTGTGTGCTGTTACATATGTGAACACATGTAAAGTACTGGATTTACAGGCTCAGGGACAATCTAGGACAGAAGAGGAGGTGGGCAAGGAGAAGCACATCTCTTCTCTGCCTCAGCCTCACCCGATCCCAGGGACAGACACATGGGGTAAGTGGACTGAAGCCCTTTGAGTCTGGTGGAGGCACAGATCCAGTCTGTGGGAACACTGGGTCTGTCTCCTTTAGAAAGCCCTGGAAGGGTAGGAGGTAAGGCGTAAAGGGAGACAGGTCTTGCTAGAAGAACTTGACTCCTCGGCCATCGCTGATAGTGATGATCTCTGCTTTGTGCTCCTGCTGAAGGGCCTGCAGAGCCCGCAGTAAGGTTGCCTCATCCAGCCCGTGGAACTCTGGACAGGGAGATAGGGGCAGTCAAGGGCAGTCAGCTCCTTGAGGCTCAAGACCTCTGAGGAGAGCAGTCTAGATGGAAGGTGAGACTTTACAAGACCAGGATATACATATGCCATCCACACTGCTGCAGCTGCCACCCATCTTTCCCGGGTACACCTTAAGAGTCAGGGGTGGAATGCCCAAGCCTGGTATCTCCAGAATCTCTGTTAGAGCATCATCTTTTTTTTTTTTTTTTAATATATTTTTTATTGATCGTTTTACAGAGAGGAAGAGAGAGGGATAGAGTTAGAAACATCAATGAGAGAGAAACATCAATCGGCTGCCTCTTGCACACCCCCTACTGGGGATGTGCCCGCAACCAAGGTACATGTCCTTGACCAGAATCGAACCTGGGACCTTTCAGTCCGCAGGCTGCCGCTCTATCCTGAGCCTAACTGGTTTTGGCTAGAGCGTCATCTTGATATGCCAAGGTTGTGGTTCTGATCTCCAGTCAGGGTACATACAGGAAGCAATTAATGAATGCATAACTAAGTGGAGCAGCAAATCAATGTTTCTCTCTCTAAAATCAGTATTTTTTAAATTAAAAAAAGGAGTGGAAGAAAGCTTTAGTTGGCATAAAAAATGAGTATTTATGCTAATTTTCCCATTCTTGATTCTTCTATCAGATTCAACCCCCACGTACACCCCAAAATATGTCTGATGCACAGGAACGACACCATTTGCTTGCAAGGCCAGAGGGGCTTTGACAATCAAGCCTAGGGAGGTCAAGACCCTGTCACTGACTGACCCTCGTTGCTTGCACATGTGTACCCATCCTGAGAACCTATCCTCACACAAAGAAGGATAGCCATACATCTGGCCAGGAGGCTGTTAAGGTCCAGCACAGATATATACCGTTTCCTAGATGAAAAGAACAAGACCGGGAGCCAAGGGCCAGCGGAGTGTCTGGAGATTCGGCATTATACTTCAGGGAGATGTGAGAGCAGGAGGCAAGCCCTAACAGGCCTGCACACATCATCCCCTGCGGGGGCCCAGCTCCTAAGTCAGAAAACTCGCTTCTGAGGAAGCCTCCCGCTTTGCCCAGCCTGAGCGGTGGGCTGGGCAAGGCTGCAGCACTGAAGTCATAGGTGATGGTGGGAGCAGCAAGCAGAGGCCTGCAGAGCAGGGGAAAGAGCCAAGAGCGATGAACTCTGTTGGGGCAGCCAGGACCTGGCAGAAAGGGGGAAGCATCCCTTTCCCCCCAGCTAAGATGGGAGCTTTTGGTGATCCTGGGGATCAGAATATGAAGGCAGAAATAAAAGAGCTATGTAAAAATCAATCACTATGCAAATCGTTGCCTGGCTGGAAAACAAAGTATTTAAAAGGACTGAGGGTGTTGGCCCAATCCCTTCAACTAATGCCCACAAAGCTTGAGTCCTCAATAAGAATAAAGGGTGAAAGAAAGCCTGAGTCAGCAAGGAATGAGATTTCAAGCTTAATCTCCTGCCCTGGTTCCTCATTTGGTGTCTACACCCTTAATTCTTTTTTTCTTTTTTTTTATTTTATTGATTTTTTACAGAGAGGAAGGAAGAGAGATAGTCAGAAACATCGATGAGAGTCATCGATCAGCTGCCTCCTGCACACCCCCCACTGGGGATGTGCCTGCAACCAAGAGATGTGCCCAATGTCCCTGACCGGAATTGAACCCGGGACCCTTCAGTCCGCAGGCCGACGCTCTATCCACTGAGCCAAACCGGTTTCGGCTACACCCTTAATTCTTAACTTTTCATGGGTCACAGATTCTCTTTGAAAATCTGATATGGACTCTATTCCTAGAAAAATACACATACCCCCCACAAACAAAATCTGGGGGTTTTTTTGTATGTGAATTCAGATGGTTTATGAAAATAATGGGTGTGGGTTAAGTTAGTATTTGAAATTCAGAAGCAGAGAAGTGGGAAGTCTAAATACCAATTAAGTAAGGACTGGAGAGAGGATTCAGATGGCAAAACGAGGGGAAGAGAAAGGCATTACCCTCTTCCTCTGTGTCTTCCCCATTGGTCAGTTCGTACAGGGTGAACACGGAGTTGTTCTGACCACTCCTGGAAACCTATGGATACAGAAAAATGGGGATTGAATAAGGACCAGCAATCTCTTGGGAGAAGGGAAACTGGCAGCTCCACCGCTCTGACCCAGGAATGGTACCCAGTCCCAAACCAGGGTTGCCACCTCTGCGGAGAAGTGGCTATAACCCACAAACCATACAGGTGCTATATTTGTATGTGTACACACACACTGGAGACCACTAAACCACAGGTCTCCACGTGTCTGAGGACTGACCTCTCATTCTGGTTGTTTTCCTGTTCAGGAATGGGTGGTATGTATTTGTTATATTTGGGTTGTTGATGCTTCTTACCCTCCTTTCTCTCTTGGGAATGTTTAGAGCTGGTGGTGGCTAGAAATTCTGGAGACAGAATCTGCCCCCACACCCACATTGGTTCAGAACATCGAATTCATATTGTGGACAGCCCCATAAGGGTGCAGTGGGGGAGGGGCCCATGTGTGTGTTTTTTCCCCCCTTCCTTTCCCCATTTATCTTCTGTGGCCAGAGGCTCCAGCCAACAATAGTACTGGTGGTTCCCAGTACTGCATTCTCCAAACATGGCCTCACGTAGCCTCTGCTATCCAACAGGCAAAGAGAGGGAACCTCTGTGCAGCCATGGAAATTGAGTCCCTGAAAGAATCTTGCCTGGAAGACCTAGACTTCCTCCTTCTGCCCCCTTCCGCTTTGCCCAGTCTGGGAACACCAGGTGTCTGCTGAGCACAGACACAAATCTCCCTTGCCATCTATTTGTCATTGCAGCACAACAGTCTCACCCACTGATAGATGAGTTTCCCCCATTCTTCTGGCCTCCGCCACATGATCAGGAAGCTAGACTTGTTCTTATCCAACCACTCCAGGTTCCCTGCAAAACAGATACTTATGAAAGCATCAGCTCGAAGGAGGGACAAAGAGGCAAAACCAAGGTAGAACAGAGTAGGAAGAGACTCAGCTTTCTGAAGGAGAAATTCAGATTTGCTTTACTACTGCTGTCTGCAAGGCACTCGTTCTCCTTCTATGTCTCTTTAGGTCTTAGGGCACAGAGGAAGAGATTTTCGTTTGTATACCAATGGGGGCAGGGACCTAGGGAATCAGGCTATCTGCTGTACTGAGAACTATGGGCTGCAAGCAAGGGGAGAGAAAAAAAGCTATTAAAAGTCTCGTGTGTATCTGTCCTCAGGAAAAGCCAACTAGGAGAAAAATAAGAAATTTGGGAAGTTGAACCCACCTTTCTTCCTCAGTTCCTCTAATACAACCTGGATTGATTCCACGGGGAGCTTCCCTGGTTTAAGGTTAAGGGATTGGCATTAATGGAATAAACTGGGTGGGATAAAAATTCGAAGAGCCAGTCACATGCTGAGAACCCCCTGCCCCCTACCTCTCCCTTCCACACACTTACAGGTGCAGTTCCCCAATGGGGTATAAATGGGCTTTTCTCAGACACTGGGGGAGGGAAGAAGATAAAGACAAAGGATTCCAATTTACAGGAAGAGCTTTACAAAATGAAATGTACTGTTTCCTCATCCTCTGTCCGCTCTCCTTCCTGCACAGATAGTTTAGGCATGAATCAGGCAGCAAAAACAAATGACACTTACTTCCTGGGAGAATAAGAGTAGGCAGAGAAAATTACTAAAGGTAGTACCTGAATTTGAGCCTCATAATGACCAGGACAGGAAATTCAGAGTCAAAGGGGTTCAGGTTGACCCGGGACTTGGCTTCTTGGCTTCAGGGCAGAGTTTCTAAGACCTGTATGGCAGCTGGGTACCCATTGCTGCCTGGGACAGGAGGGTTTGCTGCTGCAATTGGATTTGGGCTTAAAATGGATGCCCGCTCCATATACTTGCTCTTTCCCAAGGCCAGTCTGGATAGGAACCTGACCGCTGTGGGTGAAGGGTGTGTGTGCGTGCGGAGTCTGGGCGTGTGGGAAAGGGTGGACGTGCAGGTGGGGGCCGTGGACGAGCCTGAGGGAGGATACGCTGTAGCTTCACGTTGTTGAAGAGCGGGCTCTCCTGGGCTTCCATCACCGTCATGCTGGCCTGTTTGTGCAGGCGGCAGAAGGACAGGACCAGTGAGCACCAAGCGGCCAGCTGCTTCTGCCGAGTGTCCACGTTCGGCTGTAACCTGCCGGGCGAAGGGGGTGGGGTGCAGAGTTACAGGGAGGGAGAGGGAGCGAGGCAGCCCTTGCCGGAGGCGCGTTTGGGGGAGAAAATGAGAGGCTGAACGTGGCGGCGACCGAGTCCGCTCTCGCCCTCCCCATGGGAAGGATCGGGGCTCGGCCCGGGGTCGGGGGAGGGAAGGCAGGCACCGCGGGGCTTCCCGGGGTCTGAGCCTCACGTAAAGAAGGGCGGGAAGCGATACTGCCACGGCCACTCGAAACTCATCGCCATCGTAGTAGCCCAGGAAACCCGGAAGCTCCCGGCAAAGGACTTCCGGTCTCCGCTTCCGCACGTCCTGGCGGAAAGCACAGCAGAAAGGTTCCGGCCCCTTCTTGGGAGAGAGGGACAGTCTAGGAAGGGTTCTTCCTCTTCTGCCAGTCCCTTGCCATTATCTTAAAAATCCTTACCGGTTAGGGCAAAAGGTCCCTGAGAAGCCTGACCCAACCCCAGAGAAGGGCATAGTTTGTTCCCAGAAGGGCAAGCAGAACCCCAGGTCCCCGGACCCCAGCCTAGGACTGTGTCCACCATGCTGGGCTTCTTTCAATAACACCTGTGTCAAATGCCATTTAAATGAAACGTCTCACATTTCCCAATCTCTTCGATTCCTATGTCCTGTGGCTCTACCATTCTTCAGTCTCCTGCAGCACCTGTGGGAATACGTTTGTAGCGTTTATAGCTGCAAACGGCTCTGCTTCCCTGATGCAGAGCTGCCATCCTTGACCACAGCCATCCATCTCTGATCTCTCTCCCGTTCTCACCTTCCTAGTCTCACGTCCCAGACCCCTTTTGGTCGTGACTCCTTACCTAGACTAGACTACTCAGTTCTGTCCCCTTGTCTGCCTACCTGCTGGTCAGTTTCCAAACCAGCTTGTTGGTCCCTGCCCACCCACACCCTCTTTTTGTGTCACTCCTTGGCAGGGGAGTGTTATTAGAAAAAAAAAACAAAAAAACAAAAAACTCCAGAATATGCTGACTGAGATCCAAATTCCGTGATAACCTCACGACTGGGCTCTCAGTGCAGCCCAGTGGCCCTTTGTGTTTTTTTTTAATTGATTTTAGAGAGAAAGAGAGAGAGAGAGAGAGAGAGAGAGAGAGAGAGAGAGAGAGAAACACTGATTTGAGAGAGGAATATTGATCAGTACACTTCCTAACCAGGGATTGAACCTGCACTTGGGTGTGTGCCCTGACCGGGAACCTAACCCACTACCTTTTGGTGTACAGGATGATGTTCTAACCAACTGAGCCACGCTGATCAGAGTTGTCTTCCCCCCAATAAGAGTTTATTTGAACCAAACTGACAACATATGGTGGGGAAGAAGCTCTCAAATGCTCCCAACCCTTTGTCTTTTAATGACTCCCTGTCACTCAAAGTAACTCTGCAATGTTTTCCATACTCATCAAGCCATGTCACCTGTCCCCATTTCCCTCCTCTCTGCAGAATATCCTTCCCTTCTATTTTATGAGATTGCAGCCATGAATGTGAACTTATTAATCTTTAACTCTCCATCTGAGAGCACACTTGATTGTCTCTCAAAAAAATCTTCCCTTGCCCTACCTGGTTTGGCTCAGAGAATGGAGCACCTGCCTGCTGACTGAAGGGTTCTGGATTCGATTCTGATCAAGGGCACATGCCTGGGTTGTGGGCTCAATCCCCAGTAGGGGGAATGCAGGAGGCAGCAATCAATGATTCTCTCTAATCATTAATGTGTTTCTATCTATCTATCTATCTATCTATCTATCTATCTATCTATCTATCTCTCTGCTTTCCTTTCTGAAATCATATATATATATATATATATATATATATATATATATATATGTTTTAAATCTTTCCTTTTACTCCTCCCTTTTGGACTCAAAGGAAGAAGTACTGCTCTTCCTTACAAGGTCAATCCTTTGGAGTATCTTCTTGCTCTCCTTTCCAACTTCCTCCAGGACTTCTCTATGCATCATCCTCCCTCGCATCCTCTCCCCTGCCTCCTCTCTGCTAGTCTACAAATATGCTGAAGTCATCCCTATTTGAAAATATGTTGTGTTCTAATCTGAAAGAATATATGCACCCTTATGTTCATTACAGTGTTATTTACAATAGCCAACATCTGGAAACAGCCCAAGTGCCCTCACAGTTTAATTCCCGGTCAGGGCATATGCCTAAGTTTCAGGCTCAATTCCTATTAAGGGGCATGTGGGAGGCAGCCAGTCAATGATTCTCTCTCATCATTGATATTTCTCTCTCTCTCTCTCTCTCTCTCTCTCTCTCTCTCTCTCTCTCTTCCTCTCTAAAGTCAATAAAAATAAATTTTAAAAAAGATGTAGTGTCCTTGACTTTGCCACTCTCTCAATTTCTTGTCTGATCTCTAACATCTCCCCCACCCAAATCCATTCTTCTTGTGCACAATTCCTTGTTCATAGAAATACCCAACAAATATTTGTTGAATGAACGAATGAACTTTGCAATTAATTTTCTTCAGCTGAAAACTGTTTGGCTCAGTGCCGAAACTGGTTTGGCACAGTGGATAGAGCATCGGCCTGCCGACTGAAAGGTCCCGGGTTCGATTCCGGTCAAGGGCATGTACCTTGGTTGCAGGCACATCTCCAGTAGGGGGCGTGCAAGAGGCAGCTGATTGATGATTCTTTCTCATCAATATTTCTAACTCTCTACTCTGTATCTCTCTCCCTTTCTCTCTGTAAAAAAATCAATTATATATATATATATGTTTTTTCAAAGGACACCATCTCCTTTGCTTCCAGGACAATGCTTTATCCTTGGTCTGCTATTGTCTCTCTGATCTTTTTCTTTGTCTCCTTTTCCCCCTCATTCTTTAATTATGGGTGTTTCCTAAGAACCTAACTTCAGTCTTCTTTTCAATACACCTTCTCTTAAAACTCTCATCCCTCTCATGGCTTTAGATGACATTTCTCTGCAGAAGTCCCCTAAACCTGTGTTTCCAGGTCCACCCTCTTTCTACCTCCACCATCACCACTCCCATTTCTAATTCACTGTGGGATATTACAGTTTGTTCCATTATTACCTCATATTGCATATCCTTTTTCTCAGGCTACCTCCTCCTGTTAATGGCCCTTTTCTATTCTTACTTCCTTCGTTGTCCAAATAACTCAGGTTCAAAGCTTGAATTAGCTCTAGTCTCTGTCTTCATATCCAAATCCTGTTGATTCCCTCCCGTTTTTAATCATCTCTCTTACTTTTCAATTATTTTCCATTTCCCCATTCACCACACTTTTGGTCCATGTCCTATTTTTATCAAGCCTGAATTATTACAATAGTTTCATAATTCATCTCCCTTTCTACTCCTCTAGCCTGTTAACCGGGGAGTTCCCTTTTTAATTACTCAACCTGTAAGGGGTGCGTACTCTTTCACTAGGATGTGTCAGTACGTCTACGCCCAGAGGACATAATTTCATATAATTATTTTTTAAATTTATACTTAATTAAAATAAATGATATATATATTTTTCATTTATTTATATATAAAGCACAAAAAATACAAAATTACAAAAAAATAGAAAAGAATACCAACAAAAAAATAGAAACATCGAATTAAAAAATTATAAATTTTACAAACAATTATAAAGATTACAAAAAATATATACCATCCCTCTCAGGACGCAACATATATTTCCAGGACGTATTCATACGTCCTACCCGTTCCCAATATTGTTTATGTTTGACGTATTTGTACGTCCTGCTCGGTTAACAGGCTAGGGGAATGCACTCCACCTTCCGTTAATTCATGTAGCAACTCTACAGTCACCCTCCTGTGATCTTTTTTTAAAAAAATATATATTTTATTGATTTTTTACAGAGAGGAAGAGAGAGGGATAGAGAGTTAGAAACAACGATGAGAGAGAATCATCGATCAGCTGCCTCTTGCACACCCCCTACCGGGAATGTGCCCGCAACCAAGGCACATGCCCTTGACCAGAATCAAACCCGGGACCTTTCAGTCCCCAAGCCGATGCTCTATCCATTGAGCCAAACCGGCTTCTGCACCCTCCTGTGATTTTTATTCCTGTGATCACACCTCTGTTAGATGTGACCTTTCCTTCCTTTGCACTCATACAAACATTTGGCTTGTATTCTTTGCATGACCCTCATCACACACTCCATTGTTTTTGTTTATTTGCACATGTCCACTCCCCTACTAGATAAAAGCCACTGAGGGCAGAAACCAAGTCTTAGCTAACTTCCTTTTTCCTTATTTTAAAAAATATATATATTTTTTACAGAGAGGAAGGAAGAGGGAGATTTAAACACACTAATGAGAGAGAGAAACATCCATCAGCTGCCTCCTGCACACCCCCTTCTGGGGATGTGCCCACAACCAACATACATGCCCTTGACTGAAATCAAACCTGGGACTCTTCAGACCGCAGGCCGACGTTTATCTACTGAGCCAAATCGGTTAGGGCAGCTAACTTTCTTTTTCAACACAATATACCATACAGTGTCTTACACCAGCATGCCTTTGATGTATGTTAGCAAAATGCATGAAGGCAAATATAGGCCAAGAAAAGCATAGATATATCCTTGGAGAAGATACATTCACAGAAACAGCAAAGATTTATCTCAGGTGAAAACTCAAAATGTCCAAGGGAACAGGTGTGTCTCTAGAGAGACAAATACGACCTGAGAGGAGAACTGTGTCTCAGAGAATGAATAGATACATTCCAGAGGCATACAACTATGTATCTATGGACTAGACAGGCATGTCTAGGAAACAGAGATGTATATATTCTCAGGGAGGCAGATATTTCCTGAAGAGGCTTTAGGTGCCACAAGGAATAAACAGGTGTCTTTATGGAGCGCAAAGTTGTTGTCTAGGTATTTTTGAAGACCTGGCAGGTTTGTTTCAAGGAAAATTGGAGGTGAAGGTTCCCTGGTGAGAACTGAGCCTCGCTGTCCAGGGGACCTACAAGAGTATCCATAGGCCAAAATGGCGAGTCAGAGACTAAATATGTCCCCGGAAAGTGGTGTGGATAAAAAAGGGATGCTGTAATAAATCACAAATACCTAACTGGGCAGGTCATGGTGAGTAGTCATACCCTAAGCATATAAATTTCTAGCCTAAGCAAGCCAGGCCCATTGTTTTTGTGCATCCAGGTCAGCACACCTTTGAAAAGGCCTCCTCTCAAACCCCTCCTTTTAAGATGTAATCACCCTCACCTTGATTTCTCCCACCTTCACGTAATCTCCCTAAGTCCCTTCCTGAATTTAAAATGCATGAAAGAAACTGCAAAACTGTTACTCTTCAGAGCATTTGAGAGCTTGCTGCTGATATATGCTATCAGTTTTGGCTCAAATAAACTTGATTAAACTTCATTTTTATTTTTGATATATTTTTTATTTTATCTTCCTCCCCCCCCCCCCAATACATTTCTATCAGTTTTAGAAAGGAAGAGAGAGGAAGAGAAAGAAACATTAATGATGTGAATCATCCATCGGCTGACCCCACACGCCCTCCCTCCCCCCACCGGGGATTGAGCCCTTGATTAGAATAGAACCTGGGACCCTTCAGTCTGCAAACTAATGCTCTATCCACTGAGCCAAACCAGCCAGGCCTAAACTTTATTTCTATTGTTCACACTATTACAGATGTCCCCCATTTCTCCCCTCTTGCCCACCTCCACCCAGCCCCACCACCCCTCAAAGAAACTCTTAACAATTCTCCACAGGTCTGGACATTTCTTATGTCGACAGTGGGAAAGTGTCTTAAGGGAGCCCAAGTATGATTCAGAAGCAGACAGAACTAGTCTTTGCAGCCCGGACCGGTTTGGCTCAGTGGATAGAGCGTCGGCCTGTGAGCTGAAAGGTCCCGGGTTTGATTCCGGGCAAGGGCATGTACCTTGGTTGCAGGCACATCCCCAGTGGGGGGGTGTGCAAGAGGCAACTGACCAATGATTCTCTCTTATCGATGTTTCTAGCTCTCTGTCCCGCTCTCTTCCTCACTGTGAAAAAGTCAATAAATTTTATTAAAAAAAAAAAAAACAAAAAAAAAACTAGTCTTTGCTATGGAGATGACAGGACTCTGACCTCAGGGTCCACTCTCCTGTTTTGAGCTTCTTCCGCCACACATCCATCTTCTGCTCTTAGTGGACACCAGGGGGCAGTGTGCAGCCAGGCTGTAGGCCACACCCCCGGGGTCCAGGACAATGTAGGATGAGGGCCAGGGACCCGGCGGGGGGAGTCCTGTGGTGAACGGAGCAGAGGGATCCCCCACGCTTTACCCTCAGCCCTGGCTGAGGTCCTTAGGGGTGGACTCCAGTTAGGTCAGATCAGAGTTCCTGTTCGAAGCCTCTAGAAGTGAACTGAAACATGAAAGCAGAAAACTCAGAACTCCTGGGTGCCCCCCCTTCCTTCTTGTAGGAGTCACAGCCCAGAGTCCTCTCTCGCCCCTCCCCCCACACCTCCCCAGCGGCTGTCCAGACCGGAAGGGAGTCTTTTCCTGCACGTTTCCTGGAGCTGGGCTTGAACAGGGGCAGGAAAAGCCCGCACCTTGGGAGGGAGGAATGTAGGAGTGTAGCCTTCAGGTGATGGTGGGGAGGGGGGTGCGGGCGCAGGACTGTGGGGGCAGGTAAGTAAACAAAACAGTGGGGCTATCAGATTCTGGTGCCCAGAGCTGGGGGCCTGTGGAGATGACAGGTTCTGGGAAGGACACAGGCCGCAGTGGGACCGGGAGGAGGAGGACAGTGTACAAAAGAAACCTTTTATTCTGAAAATTACAGAACTTGTGCCATGGCCCCACCCAGCTCCATTCCACCCACCTCGGGCTCCGTGTGCAGTGAGGGGAGAGCAGGGGGCAGGGAGACAGGGCGCGGGGCCTGGCCGGGGCAGGGAAGGGAGGGGACGGGGGAGAGGGGCTGCTGAGAAACTCGTTCCACCTTAGGTCCGGGCTTCGCTGTCTTTGCTCTTCCACACCACCAGCGTGACCAGGAAGGGGATGAGGCAGATGGGGGTTATGATCATGGCCAGGAGCACGTCCTCGGGGGGGTCTGAGAAGGTGGTCTGCTCTGGGGTGCAGTTGGCAAAGTGGGTCTGGTGCGTCTTAAAGATGACCTGCTCTGCCCAGGGGTTGGGGAATCCCAGGTCAAAGTCCTCTGCTCCCCTTTCCAAGCATTCCTGCAGGTCGCTGTAAGGGCTGGGGGCAGAGAGGACCAGCGTGAGGAGGGTCTGGGCCCACAGAGGGCGGTGCCCCCGAATTTTCTCAAGGCCCACCCACAGGGGGCAGACCCCACCCCCGGCCCAAACCACCCTCGGGCACGGCCCCCACCTGCTAATGACGGCCCAGTCGCACCAGTCTTCTTTGATAGGGTCCATGGTTCGCTGATAGTCTTCCCAGCAAGAGGAGATGCTCTCGTCATAGGTATATGTCACCATTCTGCCTGTGGGCACTAAGACTGCACATTGACCACACCCCGCCCTGCCCTACAGTCCCCCTGGTCCGGGCACTTCCATTCCAGAGTCCCTGCCCCTGTCTTCAGACAGAGGGGCTGCCCAGAAGTGTCCCCAATAAGACGCTTCTGGCTGAGGGAGAATGGCACAGCCCTTCCCAGACTGGCACGAGTTTCCGCAAACCCCTTTCCTGGGGTCTGCTCACCCCCCTCTCACCCCTGTGAGGGGGCCAGCTTGGGGGCCTGCCTGGTGGGCCAGCATCCCTCCCCCACCCACGGACTTGCCTCTCTCCTCTGGCCCAGGACCCCTCCCACAGCCGCTGGCCACTCACCTGCGGACTCCAAGCTGCCCGGGGTGGTGAGGAGCTGAGCCGGGGTGGTGAGGAGCTGAGCCGCGCACTCCTGGGGCTGCAGGGCGGCTGCGGGGCAGAAATGCGGGGGGGAGAGGGGGGCAGGAGGTGGGCTCGTTGGGTCTGGGCGGTGGAGCGTGGGGAAAGGGAAGGGGCGGGTGTGCGCTGGAGGCTAAGGCCCTGGGAAGTGGGAGCTCATCTCAGAGGAGCAGGAGGCATGGTGCACCCAGGGGTGCCTCCGTGCCCAGGAGAGAGGGGCTAGGACCAGCGCCTTCCCGCCAGCATCCAGATTCCGAACGCCTTCCCTTCCCTCCCCTTCCCGCCACCCCAGACCTCCCACGACCTCTCCGCCGGGCCCCCGCCCCCGTGTCCTCCAGATGGGAAGCCGCTTGCCCGGTGCCCTAACCGAGGAGGAGCGAGGGACGAGCCCGAGGACGGTGCTGCCCGCACCCACAGCCTCGGGGGCCGTCCAGCCCCCTCCCCTCCGGGGCCTCCCGCACCCCCGCCCGGCGGCGCTCACCGCCCAGCAGCAGCAGGAGGAGGCTGAGGGCTGAGGGTCGCCTCGCGCGGGGCGCCGGGGTCCGCGGGCCGCCGGCCGCCCTGTCCACCCGGAGGGAGGCCATGGCGCGGCGCGCAGGCTTGGAGGGGCGGCGGCGCTGGGCGGGCGGGCGGGCGGGCGGGGGCGCCTATATCCCCGGCCCCGCCGCCGCAGGAAGCCGCGCCGCTTCCCGCAGGGGCAGGACAGCGGCCACGTGGGGGGCGGGGGCGACGCCGGGCCGGCGGCTGGGGCGGGAGCCGCAGCCTCTCTCGGCCCCGGCGCCCGCCGCTCCCCGCCCCCCGCCCCGCCGGCGGCGGCCCACCCTCCCTTCCCGCGCGCCCCGCGGGGCTGGACAGCTCCCCCGGCACCCGGGACCCGCGCTCCGTTCCTGCTCTCGGCCGCGGGGCGCCCAGGACTCGCCAGGGTCTCCCAGCATCCGCCCCGGGACCCTGGGTGTCCCATCTCTTGGGGGGGGGGGGGCAAAGGTCCAGGTGGGGTGGGGAGCAGCTGCCCGCGGGGACCCGGAGGAGAGGGAGGGGTCTGGGAACTCGGCTCAGGCCGGCGGGTTAGGGTTGTCCTGGCCGCCGGGGGAAGGCGCGCCTGGAGCTGGGCTGGATTTCCAGTTCCCCTTGGAATCCCCATTGATGTCAGCCCGCCGGCCAAGACCGGGGAGGAGACGGCCGGCCCTCCGGAGTCGCCGGTAGGAGGATGGGAACAGAGATGGAGGGGAAAACCAGCGTCGCAGTACCCTCCCTTCGAGGGACCCACAAACAGGACTGGGGAGAGGGGCACGAGTGAGATGACTGTGCTGCCAGACAGATGGGGGCCACAACCCTTCAGGACCCAGGCTAGGAGAGGGGAGGGGTTTAGAACCTGCGATGTGTGGCTGCATTCGTGAGATGGGGACCTGGAGGGGAAAGAGCCCCGAACTTGGCGTTCAGAAGCCCTGAGTCCCCTTTCTGTCGCTCCACTCCCCTGGAATGATTTCAGTTACCTTCACAGATTCCTAGTGAAATTACCCTCTTCACTACGGCCGTAGTGAGCGTGACATCTGGGAAAGGACATTGCGTGCACTCAAGTAGACACTGGTTTCCTTTCCCGAGGACTTGCCTAAGGTCACGCTGCTGGCAAGTAGCATGGCGATCCGGGCCCCCAGGGGCCCTGATTCCTGCCACACCACAGCTGTCTCCGGGTTTGGAGCCAGAACTCCGTTTGCCTGAAGCAGTGGAGGAGCCTAGGAGCTGACTCGGCTACGAAGTTCCCCTCCAGACACAGCTGTCAGCACTGAACTTTCCTAAATTACTCCCAGACACTGACCTTTGGACTCAGCTGCTGCTATTGTCCAAATTTACTCATCCCTGCCTAACACAGATTATCTTTCATGATCTGCCTTCCAAATCTTCCTCTCAGGGTCACAGGCTCTTGAGTCATGGCCACTGATAACCTGTGGCCTCCTCCTGGGCTAGGGGTCAAGAGGTTGCTTCAGAAAGACATTCAGAGGGAGAGGGGAGGCGGCCTACTAGGCATAAACCCCAAAGCCCTCCTGAGGAGGGTCATCCTCTGCAAGGCGCAGAGAAAAGAGCCAGGTACCTCAGAGCCACTTCTGGATAGAGACAGAATCCATTCCTTCCCTCCCACCTGTGATTGCCCTTAAGAAGAAAGAAAGAAAGAAAGAAAGAAAGAAAGAAAGAAAGAAAGAAAGAAAGAAAGAAAGAAAGAAAGAAAGAAAGAAAGAAAGAAAGAAAGAAAGAAAGAAAGAAAGAAAGAAAGAAAGAAAGAAAGAAAGAAGAAAGAAAGAAAGAGAAAGAAAGAAAACATGGTCAAGAGGGAAATTCTGAGTGATACGATGGAATTATGGAACAAGGAGGGGCAGAAAGCAAAACCAGCCATTTCCACCAGGCTGAGGTCAGAAGCACTTGAGCCCACTGTGGTTAGAACTGGAGTTGGGGTCAAGATTAAACTTGTCAAAAGTAAATGTTGGGTTTTAAATAGGGCAGCATGGTATAATGGATAAAAACAAACGAGCATTGGTTAGGATTCTGAGGGCCTCTGTCTCGCTGTGTAACCTTGGGAAGGCCATTTCATGTGGTTGGAGCTCAACATTTTCAAATACAAAACTGACCTTAGAAGCCAAAGGGGATACACAGGTGATTTGGCGGAAAGTGTGATTTTCAGCCTAGAGTTGGGGTTAAGCTTGCGTCAGGATTGGAGACCTCCAAAGGAGAACTTGTAGCCGTCATTCCCGAATGTGGAATTCCAAACCTTCCGTTGCAGAGTCTGGGGATGTTTTTCTCCTCCTGATTTTCCTCTTCTCACTTCTTCTTACCAGTTAGCTGTTTGGATGTTTGCATTGACCCCTGGGAGCATCCCGGTAGCTTGGGGTCAGCTGTGAGGTCCCTTTGGGGCTGAACAGAGACTGGAGACCTTCATCTTTCAAGTTGCCATAGGAGACAGTCCCATGTTCTGCAGCAAAGGGACAGAGAGAGCTTCATCAAGGTCAGGTTTGTTCATGGGGAGTCCCATGTTCCACCCCTAGAATCCCTTACCTTTCTTTTCTAAGCCCGTTTCTGCTTCAAATGTATCATTTTTGCTATAAAAATAGACTTTTAATTGCAAGTAATACATAAGTGTACACTTGTTGCAAAATACAATTTTTTCTTTTAAATCTTTTAAATAACCTGGCAGTGAGTCAAAATATGAAAAGAAGATTCAAGCTGTCATGATCACCTCAAACAAGCTTTACCAAAGGCAATGATGACACCAAGTTCCAAAGAGTCTGATGGCTAAGAAGGCTTCAGGGCTCACAGACAGGAGAGACATCAAATTCCAGGGACCCTCAAAGGACAGGACTGGGTTTCTGGGTCATCAGTACCTTGAAATGTTTCTCTTTTCTTTCTTTAAAAAAAAAAAAAAAATATATATATATATATATATATATATATATTTGACTTTTTTTTAATAGAGAGGAAGGGAGAGGGATAGTTAGAAATATAGATGAGAGAGAAGCATCGATCAGCTGCCTCCTGCACACCCCCCACTAGGAATGTGCCCACAACCAAGTTACATGCCCTAGACTGGAATTGAACCTGGGACCCTTGAGTCCACAGGCTGACGCTCTACCCACTGAGCCAAACCGGTTATGGCTTGAAATGTTTCTTGATATGATTCAGTGTGGAGAGTATTTATTGCCTGGGGAGAACCCAGCAGGATGGGCTGAGCAGATGGTATGTTGTCCGGTAAGGTCAAACTGCTTTAGGACAGAGACCCAGTCCCTCTGTTGTTTAGGTACCAGTAATTCTGGATAAACAAGAGCACAATGAAGCCAGACTTTCCTATTCTGTCTGCAGCTCAATCTCTGTTACAAAATGTTTAAACACAGAAAACTTTATAACCCCATTCCTGTATCACTCACTTTCCCGTATATTTTGCACTTAAAAATAAATTTTAAAAAAGCATAGTCCTAACCGGTTTGGCTCAGTGGATAGATCATCGGTCTGTGGACTCAAGGGTTCCGGCTTTGATTCCGGTCAAGGGCATGTACCTTGATTGCGGGCACATCCCCAGTAGAGGGTGTGCAGGAGGCAGCTGATTGATGTTTCTCTCTCATCAATGTTTCTAACTCTCTCTCCCTCTCCCTTCCTCTCTGAAAAAAGTCATGTCTTAACCATGATTTTATTTCTTCCTTCTCATTCAAAATCAGAGTATCGATTCCATATTGGGTCTTGAAAGGAAGGGAGGAGAACAGAGTTTCTTCTGAGATCAGATTGAGCCCTCCAGAAATAAGATCCTGCACACAACATACTCCTCCTCCTTCCCTGACCCAGGCTGGGCCATGACATCACATTGTGGAGGCTGTTTTTCCGAAAAGAACCCAGGCCAGATTTACAAGAACAACATTCAGTGTTACTGAAGAGGACCATGGCCAAGTGACCATAGCACACGCCCAGCAGTGCTGAGAACACTGCTGATCCCTCAGCACGGAGGCTGACGCATGGTTTCTGTCAGGACCAAATGTCAGACGCAGGATGGCTGTTACCCTTCGTCATTCCTGAACTCTCCTATGAAACCATCCCCAGGTACATTTCTATGCCCTCCCACACTCCAGAGAGCTTGATGTTGTATATAACATGGGGGTGCTCTGAGGATGCTGGGCAGTATGCTCAATGTTTCATCCAAAACGATTCATGTAAAACTCACAACTCTGTTAAACAGCAACCCACTGTACAGGCGAAGCAACAGAGGCTCAGAAAAGTTAAGCTACTTGTCCAAGTCGTGCAACTAACATTGATACATAGGTCTTCTTTAATTTTTAAAAATGTATTGATTTTTTTTTTTTTACAGAGAGGAAGGGAGAGGGATAGAAAGCTAGAAACATCGATGAGAGAGAAACATCAACCAGCTGCCTCCTGCACACCCCCTACCAGGGATGCGCCCACAACCAATGTACATGCCCTTGCCCGGAATCGAACCTGGGACCCTTCCGTCCGCAGGCCGACGCTCTATCCACTGAGCCAAACCGGTTTCGGTGATACATAGTCTTCTTGACGCTGAAGCCTGGCACTTTACCTCATCTCCTGATAGAAGTCCACCTCCTAGCCAACTTGCAAGACAGAGCCAAAGAGGAAGAGATGAGGAAGAGTGGCCAGAAGGGCAAGGCTCCTCATGGCACAAAAAGCTTTCTCCACTCAGTACAACTCTTCTGACTATGCCTGTGTCACCTACAGACAATAGCTTTCCACGTCCTTTCCCCCAAGACCTTAAAGCATTAGATCAGTGATTTTCTTTTTCTTTTCTTTTTTAAATATATTTTATTGATTTTGTACAGAGAAGAAGGGAGATAGTTAGAAACATCGATTAGAGAGAGTTATCGATTAGTTGCCTCCTGCACACCCCCTAGTGGGGATGTGCCCACAACCAATGTACATGCCCTTGACTGGAATCGAACCTGGGACCCTTCAGTCCCCAAGCCAACGCTCTATCCATTGAGCCAAACCGGTCTTGGCAGATCAGTGATTTTCAACTGGTCTGGTTCAAGTCTCTGTCTAGCTGTGACCAGTTGAGGCGGCATGACAGCATAGGGACAGC